AAATGTTGCCACTGATTTACTGGAACCACTTTATACTGACAGATAAAACAGTACTTTTTAATAAGATCATAGTTTGTGATTTTAAGTGGCAATTTCATGTTATGAATTTTATATGAAGAGTTTACTAATAAAAGATGAATGCTAAATGTACCTTTATATTTATTTTCTGGTTGTAGTTAGATGTATTGGTTCCTTTAAATCAAAAATTTCAAATATGAAAATGTATTTTAAAAATGAGAATAACTTTGAAAATAAAAAACTTTGAAAATAAAAAAAACTTTGAAAATAAAAAACCTATGACTCTATGGTAGATTTAAAAGATTTTTTGGAATATTAGTGTTTGATGAGTTCATGGTAAATATGCTAGGAAAAAAATTCCTTGGCATATGAACTACTAACGCTTTTCAAATTGTCAGTTTTTCTTATGTATAGAATTTTTTTAATGAAATTCTGTTTTTGATTTTTATTTTAGGCACTGTGACTTATAATACTGTTAATTATAGGGTTCAGGGTTTCATGCAACAATATTCCAGTATTATATTCTCTACCTGAATATCTCCCCTCAGATTTCCCTACACTCCACCGAGGTAAGCCCACCTTTTCTTTTCTTGGTCTGCAGAACTAAGTTTTATAACTGAAGCGTACTATAGCTTCAGTAGAATTCCTTAGTTTCTGGAGCTCTGTTAAAAATAAATATGTATAGAAATTTTGAGGTACTAGGAAGAAAAGAGAAGTGTATTATAGCATTAGGGGACCAAAACCACTCTACACCAAATTATTATTAGCAAACAATCTGAAGTATGATAAGGTTAGGATCATGGTATTTTCTGAATCGAGTCCTGAACATACCTAAAAAGGTTATTAATTTTTCAATTATTGAAGGAAATGAGTTTCTCAAGATTCTAATGACTGGGTTGCACATCTCACTGAAATTGTGATTCTTGTGTACCATCATGGTCTTTAATTTCAGATTTGGCTGGCCTTGGGAAGTAATAGCAGAAAGAATAAATGTCAGATAAGGAAGAACTGAAGGTTTGATGAAACGGGAGAAAAAAAGTCTAATGCTTGTTCACAGATATACATCCCAGTTTGACATGCATCTATGCCTACCTTGGTTCTTGTGTGTAGTGTTTTTTTCTTTTATGAAAGAAAAGGTATCTTTGTTTGGTTTTATGTTCTATTTTTTCCTATTTTTTCATTTTTTGAGTTTCTATTCTGTCTTGTTCTGTGTTGCAGAAGGCTAGTTCTTTTTTTGAACCAGAAGAGAAGTATACTCATATATTTTTTAAATTAACAGGGGCTATAAAACAAATAATTTTAAAAGCATTTACTATCTATATAATGACCACTATAAGAAGAATAAAAGGGAGAAAATGAAAGGATAATAGCAGATGTTATATTGAGTGCTATTTTGGATTAGGCATTTTGCTTCTCATGTGTTAACACATTGAATCTGTGCAGATCTAGTGAAGTAGGTACCATTTCTTTTGCTTTACATGCATGGAACTGAAATAGTGAGTAACTAATGAAAAATTTGAATCCCAGTAGCTGGTTGAAGGCTTATTTAAAATATTTTGTTTCATTGCTAAATTGAAGGAAAGTCAAGATGATCTGAGGCTGGCCAGATTTCTCTAGAGAAAAATATGTGGTAGGAGGAAAAACTGCAAAGTGGTTTATACAGTAACACCCCCATCTTGTGGTATTTTAATATATTTCTGAACATATTATTAAAAATGTAACAATTCTAAACTTTGTCTAATGTAAATAAATTACAGCTTAAAATTCATTGGGGGCTGAGCTTAAAATTCAAATGGTGGGGGCCAGAGCTATAGCACAGCAGGTAGGGCGTTTTCCTTGCACGCGACCGACCCGGGTTCAGGTTCGATCCCCGGCATCTCATATGGTCATCCAAGCACACCAGGAGTAATTCCTAAGTGCAAAGCCAGGAATAACCCCTGAGCATTGCTGGGTGTGACCCAAAAAGGAAAAAAATAATTCAAATGGTGGTTTCTCATCCTTGTAATGGTAGTAATGTTATTGTTATTCTCTTATGCCTTAGAACAGTTCTTGGAGATAAGTACTATTATCCACTTTACACATGAGGAATCCAGTTAAATAATTAGCGTCAAGTTACATTGTCAGTAACTGAGTGAACTAGGCCTATAACCCAGGCACCCGGGTTTTATTTTTTAGTATATGTGAAGAGAATATACACAGATTAGCAAAAGATGATTTAAGTATGTCTTACCAACACATTAATATATATTCACAAGTTTATCCTTGTTTTCTAGTTGTAATTTAAAGGTGTTTAGCTATCCAAAGTGCTTTGTTTTGTAATCACAATGTGGTTATTTCTTTTTTTTATTTTTTTATTTTTTTATTTTTTTATTTTTTATTAATTTATTTTGTACAGTTGTAGATTTACAAATTTTTGTGCTTGGATCTCGGTCATACCACGATCAAATACCCATCCCTCCACCAGTGCCCATTTTCCACCACCAGGGTAATATCCCTCCCATCCCCCCATCCCCCCCTGCCACTGTGGCAGGGCATTCCCTTTTGTTTTCTCTCTCCTCCTGGGTGTTGTGATCAGCCAAAGAGGCATTGAGTGGCGAACATGTTCAGTCCAGTCTACTTTCAACCTGCATCTCCCCTCCTGGGAGGATCCTCCAAACACCCTCCACTTGGTGTTCCCCTTTCTATCTGAATTGTCCTTTCCCCTAGAATACCCAGCTGGCCTCTAAGTTATGGAGTAATTCTCCAGGTGTTGCTCTCAGCTATTCTTGGGTATTAATCTCATATTTTATTATTTTATATTCCCCAGATGAATGCTATCTTTCTATGTCTATCCCTCTCTTTCTGACTCATTTCGCTTAGCATGATACTTTCCATATTGTACCACAATGTGGTTATTTCTTGACAAAGGTTTGACACTTGTGTTCAGATCAGTGCTTTACCTATTTTCATCACTGCCTCAAAGATTTTAACTTGCAAATGGTATGCTTTATTTAACATGTCAGAAATTTAATTAAAAAATAGCAGTACACAAAATTACTTTGTAGAGATTTGTGGGTTTTTGAGAAACTGATGAGTAATTTATTAGTGTAAACCACAAATGTATTAGGATATTTGGGACTATATTTATGTGAAAAATTTGTTCCTAAATTCATTCTCTGTCATTCCATTGTTCCTTTTTATCTTTGTTAATGTAGCAACACTTAATCTTTGTTTGCATTTGAGCTATTTTCTATCTTTCCTTTTTGTCACTTTGCATACATGTATTCATTTTTTGGTTGAACATTTTCAGATTTAGATGCTTTTTAAAAAATTAACCCATAAGCACTTGGAAATACACTCACTAGTCTACAGAGTGAGACTAGCTCTAAACAGATTAACCTTAAAAAAATAATGCAAGTAATGTGTGAAGCTTTTGCTCAAATTTGCTAATTTTAAATTTTGCTACTTATTGTTCTTTTTACATATTCATTTTTCTTAAATTGTTTGAAAGTTGTTTGCATATGCTCCCTCAGTCATTAATATTCCATCTTTATCTCCTAAGAATGAGGATATTATTAATCTAGGCTTGATAGTATTCAATATGCCAAACACAGTAACAACAGAGTCTCCAATGGAGACGTTACTGGGCCCGCTTGAGCTAATTGATGAACAACAGGAGGACAGTGACAGTGACAGTGACAGGTTTGATAGGCTTTATTGATGTAATTGATTTAGTCTATGGAATATGTTTTATAAGAAAATGCAGAGAAGGAAAAATAATACAGTCCGCATATGGCCAAGCATGTGGCATGAAAGCCATAAAGAAATAGCCACTCATTCATACATTCTACAAATAGTTGACTGCCTGACCAGTGAGCTTGACTATGAGGGATAATATTAAAACTCTGAACATAATGCTCAATGACCTTATGAGGTTATGATTTAGTGTATAAGGAACAAGGGAAAGAAATCATTTGAATATAGTGAAGTTTGTGCAAGGATAGGAAAGATAGAAAGTCATGTTGGCTAAAAAATCATTGATGATTTTGTGAATGATGTACAGGATCCAGAATGACTCACAATAAGGCTTTGGATAAAGATGAATAATGGTTTTGGGGAATTAAGAGATACCTAAATTGCCAGGAAATACACTATAGCATGAATTTAGGAAATTTAACAGTGTAAAGGAGAAAATAAGGGAAGCTGCTCAGAATAACAAATATTTTTCCCTATTAGCTCCAGTTAACTGGACTAGTTGAATATCAGGTGACAGAGGGGCTTAGACAAGAATGAGTGGGATCTAGGACACATATTTTTTATTTATGTTAATAAATAAAATTCATGTAGAACTAGAGATCACTGTCACTGTCCTCCCATTATTCATCGATTTGCTTGAGTGGGCCCAGTAATGTTTCCATTGTGACAGCTGTTACTGTGTTTGGCATATCGAATACATCACAGGTAGCTTGCCAGGCTTTGCCAGGATGAATCTAGAAGAATCTAGAAGTTTGAAGAACATGGGAAATGTTTCAGATAAGGTTAGAGGAAATGACTTAGGGAATAAGAAAGATTGATGTGGAGTTCATGCCCGATTCAGTTAGCTTAATCAATGGCTGAATAAATAGCAGTACTCCTACACTTAAAAAAAAAAAGAAGAAAAGGAAAGGAAAAAAAGAAAGATTGAATATCACTAAACTTCAGTCAGGGCTTCAAGCTGAAGTTTATCTATATTGGTTGATACTAGACACTACTTCGGCAGGTTTCTCATAGAGCTCTATGGTCCAAAGTAGAGTAATGTAACTTTTTTAAATCAAAGATTAGGAGCATCTGATTCTTTTTTTAAATTTTTTACATAATACAGTGAAAGAGCCATTCAGCATTTCATTACTATTTTGTTCTAACAACTCATTTCAGTCATCTTTTTCTCTTCCTGCATGAGAATGAGAATTGTCCTTTCCACCTCCTTTACCTATCGTTATTTTTTCCTTCCTACATTTTCACAGCATGCTATTTCTCTGAGATGTTCCAGCAAGCAGGCCAAACGTCATATTGACTTCACAGAAGAACAGGCTGAGCTGACACCTGTAAGTTCTGTAAACGTGTCCGTGGAAGTGATCTCAATAAAAATATATGTTTTATTTAGAATTCCTGATGAGTGTGGAGTTGGAGTTGGAAAGATAAGTGCAGGGGTTAAGATGTTTGCCTTGTATCTAACCAACCGCAATTCAAATCCTTGGGTGAGCACCACTGGGATCACTTCTAAGCAAAGAGCCAGGAATACCCCTAAGGACAGCTGGTGTGGTTCAAAACCTGCATATCCCCCCCCCCCCCCCACGTGTTGATGATGAAATCCGGGCATGCTACATATTTTTAAGTAAAAGTTAAACAATTTAAATGAGCAACTTTATGTTAGGTATGTTACCTTGAATAAGGATAGAATTGTATAGTAGCATATCTGCTACAAAGAAAAATTTTATTGGAAAGTGAAACCATATCTTGTTTTTTTATCCTAAAACTAAGGGTTTTTGTCATTTCTGATAGTACTAACAAATTTAGCTGTTTTTCATAATGAGTATATAAAGTAGAATGATGCTTCAGCACTGATGTATAAATGAAAATCTAATTTATTTCTCCAAAAATATATTCTCTAGAGGGTCAGTGGTTCAAGATGTGGATCTTTTGGGGCTGCTTCATCAGTGTTTTATTAATTATGCAGAAGCTGTTAAGTACTTGAAATGTGCCTTATCCAAACTGAAATCCTAAAAGGATAAACTATACACTGGATTTTGAAGACAGTATGAAAAAATGAAATATCTATTTTTAATATTGTTGAAATCATATTTGGATCGTTAATACTTTCAGTTAAAAGATATTAGTATTAATTTATTTTGCCATTTTCTTTCTACTGGGCTGGAGCGATAGCACAGCGGGTAGGGCGTTCGCCTTACAAGCGGCCAACATGGCCGACCCGAGTTCGATTCCTCCGCCCCTCTCGGAGAGCCCGGCAAGCTACCGAGAGTATTCGATATGCCAGACACAGTAACAACAAAGTCTCCAATGGAGACGTTACTGGGCCCGCTCGAGCGAATCGACGATCAACGGGAGGGCCTTTACCTTTACCTTTACCTTTCTACTATTTAAAAATGGTTATTAAGAAAAATAACACCTAAAACATAGTTACTAAAATAATGCAAATGTATAGGTGATTTGTATATTATTTATACTTGATAATGTCACTTCGGTCTTCATAAAACTTAAACAAAACTAAGATAATCCCTGACCTCTGTCTTCCTTCTACCCTTTAGAAATACTGATAGTTACCCAGTGATCTTAATACACAACCCTCTAATAGCGTGCATAGTTAAAAACATCCTCAAGTCATCTCTAGCCCCTCTCCCAACACTTAAGCATCAGACACAGTGTAATTCTTTTCATCCACATGCCTGTGCTGCAGTTATCAGCCCTGTTAATCCAGTAATCCCTGTATCACTGTAGCGCTGTCCTCCCATTCATCGATTTGCTCAAGCGGTCACCAGTAACGTCTCCATTGTGAGACTTGTTGTTACTGTTTTTGGCATATCGAATACGTCACAGGGAGCTTGCCGGGCTTTGCCGTGCTGGTGGGATACTCTAGGTAGCTTGCCGGGCTCTCCAAGAGAGGCAGAGGAATCGAACCCGGGTCTCTGCATGCAAGACAGATGCCCTACCCACTATACTATCGCTCCAGCCCACCCTTATGTTAGAGCAAATAATTTATAACGTTTTTACTGTCCCAAGTACCTTTATAGTTAATAGTCTATTTCTGTATATCTATTTTTAAATAAACTTATAGCCCTAACAGTTTATTGAAAGGAGGAAGTAGAGCAAACAAAAGTAATTTATTAAATCTATTGCAGTTTTTAAATGCTTGACTATCACTCTATCGACTGACTGATAATGACATGGTCAAGCCCCACACCCATTTAAAATGGTAAACTTTGGATTTAGGAGATGCAAGAAGTTGCTTTTCAACAGATATACAGAATAAAGAAAGAGCAGGAATGTAGGTGAGCTGTTGAACTAAAGTGTTTTGATAAATAGTAACTGACAAAATGTGCTTTTGTATGATAATAGAAAAAGGGAAATAGTTTTAACTGAAGTAGGAGCAAACTGCTAGTAGAATTTACAGACTGTCAAAGAGAGGAAGCACAAAACTTTTGCAAATAAGTCATTTTATAATTTATAAAAATCTATCAATTTAATGATTATAATAAATTCTAAAGTATATATTTAATAAAATTATTAAAACTGGAGCTGGAGAGATAGTATAGTAGGTAAGGTACTTGTCTTGTACACAGCTGATCTAAGTTCCAACTTTGGCACCATATATGGTCCCCAGAGACCTGCTAGGAGTGATCCGTGGATGCAGAGCCAGGAGTAAGCCCTGAGCACTGCTGGGCGTGTCCCATATCAAAAGAAATTATTAAAACTGATGTTAAATTTCACAATTTATAGTGATAGTGACAAAATCATTCCAACTTTATAATATGGGATGAGGTAGTGATAAAATGACTGACACCTGACTTCTTACAGGATAGAATTTTCTTTGTGTTACAAATATTTCAAATCAGTGATATGTGAAATATTGTTAAACAGTCTTTCTTAGTGAAGCTCAGTGAGATTCCTTTCTTTACAGTTCTTTTCATTAATATAATACTAATTCTGTTATAGTACTAATTCTTAATTCTGTTAAGTTTTAAGGAAATTTTAGATCTCCCATTATTTGTATGTAACAGTGAACCTTGAGACTGCCAGCTGTTGTACTGGCAGCTCTTGTTTCTAGCTGGGATTCTATTGGTGAAAATAATTTTCTAACATAATGATTAATTCTTGGCAAATTCTGAATAAAAGAAAGTGCAGGCCTCCCTTTATTTTACATCATAAATGGCATTACTAGTAGAGTAACTGAGTATTAAAGTTAGACAAAAATACTTGGGTTTTTTGTATAAAATAATCTTAAGTTCTAAATTCAGACAGTTCTAAATAAAGACCAATGTTTCTGTATAACTTTCCCCATATGGAAGTTAAAATTTCATGTGTTAAATGGAACATCTGTTGTTATGACGTGACATTGTTCTTTGTGTGCAGGACATCTAGGTTTCTGACTTATCTTACCAGTAATACTCTCCTTGACTTCTTCATAGCTGCCTCCAGTATCCCTAACATTTTCTGAAATGTTTCCCTAAGGGCAACACCACCTCACCTCCTTTGAGAACTGCAGGTAGCTCTGTGCATTCTGTCTTTAATCGTCACCCTGCCTCACTTGCCTCTTTCCTCATCGCTTAGGACCTTACCAAGCCCTGGATTTTAGGTACTCCACTTCCTACTTAGTCCATCCCACTTAACATGTTAGAGGTGAATGAGAAAAGACATAAGGAAGCCCTGTCAGGGCACCGGAGGCTGGACCATGCCCTGCTGTGCTTGGGATTTACTCTTGACTTGGTGCTCTGGATCGCTTCTGGTGGTGCTCAGGGGACCATATGCAGTGCCAGTCAGCCTCAGGCAAGGCAGGTGACTTACTTTCTGTACTTTCTCTGGTTCCTACAAATCCCTATATAAAGGAAGCCTTGTGTATTTGTTGTTACCAGCAGCCTGTATATACCAAGAGAAAGAGCTAATTAAAGGACATGCCCAAATCACTGTGTCTTTTAATTATTCATCACAGTCCTTACTCTCTCACTGACTCTTGAATCTTTTTCCAGTAAGCAGTTCTCCTTACGTGAGCAAGGAATTATAAAACAATGAATGCCTGGTGTCAGTAGGGGGATGTAGATAAGTAAGACATTTATTGACTAATTGTTTATTTTGTTTTGTTTTGGGTCCTTACCCAGTGGTGCTCAGGGCATACTCCTGGCTCTGCCCTTAAGATAACTCTTGGTAGGATTTGGGGAACCATATGTGATGGCAAAGATTAAACCCATGTTGGCTGTGTGCAAGGCAAGCACCTTACCTGCTATATTATTGCTCTAGTCCCAAATAAAACATTTATTGAAAAGGACAGAGTTTGCAGCTTTGGATTTCTAGATTTTCTTTTTGTTCTGTAGCTTGGTTAGAGGGAACATGAAGACTTGTTTGCTCTATCTGCTGCTAAGAGAGTAAGCAGGAAATAATATCATGACTGTACCAAACAAAAAGCAATTTAAGACCACGTTCAGCTATTTATTAGTCTTCATGTTTCTCAATGTAACAAGGTTTTAGGTCACTGTTAATGATTAGCCACTTTTTATTTAAGCTATTTAAAATGCATAATGTTCTAAGTTGGATAGTTTATAAATCTGTAAGCAAATAAAGATATAATAGATGTTTCTTACCTATCAGATTAAGTTTTCTAATAATTTGAAGTCTAGGTAACTCAAATTTGAGACTGAATAAATCTGATTTCTTAAATAAATCTAAGACTTATTCCAATTTAATGTCTGAATTATGCTTAGCAAATGAGTTTATCTTGAATGCTTAATAAATTAATTTTGTGGAATTTGAAATAAAATTTTCTGACTATACTTACTTCATTATGTGCATCTTTTTGACATTAATTTTTATGAATAAGATAAGGGGAAATCTTTAAGAAACTATTTTCTTCATGTTTTGCATAGCATTTGTGTAAGAATATACTTTCTACAACATATAGATAGCGAGATGAATGGAAATAAGGGCAGTTAAAGCTATGATTGTTCTTTTTGGTTATGTTTTTCTTTATTCTTATTCAATTTTTCTCTAGTCTAAGCTGATTGTTAACTTCAAATTAAATTTAATTTTCAGAAATTTCTATTTACCTACTGCTTTAATGAGTGAGCCCATTAAATTTTAACTTCAGGTTGATTACGCTACTGTGGAAGTAAATGTCAGCTTACAGATAATTGCTTCTGTTCTTACATTGTTTTACCTCATTAAGTGCTAATCTTAATGAAGGTGTTCTCTTTGTTTTTTTGTTTTGTTTTGTTTTGTTTTGTTTATGGTTTGGGACCATACCTGGTGATGTTACTCTTGGCTCCATGTTTTGGTTTTTCTCTCAGAAGTACTCAGGAATTCATGAGGTGCCAGGGATGAAACCCAGGTCCCTTGCATGCACTCTGGCTATTGAGCAAATTCTCTGGGCCCTCATAAAAATGTTCATTTTCTAAAATTTTAGTTTTGTTTTTGATTAGTAGGTAAAAGAAGTAGGTTATAAAAGTTCATCTTGGATTTAAACAAAGCTAAAAAATACTGAAATACTAAAAAGATATCAAACCCAACTCAACATACTGTAGATATAAGTAATATTTTCTTTAGTAATGTTTCTAATCTTTGTTTTTTCGGTGGGGGTTTGTTTTTGGTTTCCTGGTCTTGAGACTACACCTGGCAGTGCTTAGGACTTACTGCTGGCTATGTACTCAGGGTCACTCCTGGGTGAGCCACATATACCTGGGTTAGCCACATGCAAGGCAAACACCTTACCTATTGTGCTATATCACTTCATCCGAGGGCTTCTAATCTTGAAGTGGAAAGTTCTACTATTTATGATAGTAAACTTTCTGAGATGTGTCTTTCCAAAGGTCTTATATCTGAAGAATAACTGATACATGGTCAGATTTATAAAATATATTTTATAATTGTTTCAGTAGCTCCACTCAGCTCTACCATACGTCGTGCTAAGAGATGACCAGTAATTATGAATTACGTAATGTTTTAAAATAAAGTTTAATTCAAAATTATATAGGATCAGGTGAGTTCTGAATTTTTTTGTAGATATATCTCTCCAAGCATATATCCCCATATATATGGGGATATATTTACATATATGTATATATACATATATATGTATTCTACTTGAGTTAGTTTGTTTCTATAATTTGCTATATAAATAAGTCCTTTACAACAGAGTTGCTATGGGTACTCTGGTAACATGAGTGAATTAATAAAATTCTGCTGAAAACAGGTGATATCGTTAGGCAGAATATTTGGCTGGCTTTCAACTTGGTGTGGTGATCAGTTAATTGGTCAGAATATTTAGAAAGTTTTGTAAATGATACAGTCTTACTGTTTTTATCAGAATAGACTACATAAAGTGATTTAAGTCTAGTATAGGCTTCAATAAGAGATGTTTAGTTTTTAATGGAAGGTAGTATATTCAGTCATTGGGCTTTGGCACCTGTTTATTTGTGCTGTGTGCCCAGCACTCTCCAACACTGCCCTAGTGGACAGTCTGACACCGTGATCTTTGCAGTGTGACCCATTTTCCCAGAGTGAAGAATCAGCAGGAGTAAGCTAGAACACACTGTCATTCATGGTGTCTTTCTCTTGCTCCTTTTTTTTTTCTTTTAAAGTTTCATTGTGGACATATTTCATTGAATGTAAGGGAAATAGATTAATTATAAACAGTCATTCATGCTTTGTCTACTTCATAATTTAAACACCTTCACTGACTTCTGTTGCCTTTTTTGTTTGTTTTTCTCTCTCTTTCTCTCTCTCTCTACACAAGCACTCCTATCTGGACAGGGAAACCTCCCTTCTTCTGAGAAACATTGCAGGAAAACCTTCTCATTTGCTGACCAAGGTGATACTACTTCTTCCACCTGCATGCATTATTTATTGTCTTGTAGGTAGAATATAATTTGCTTTTGACTGTGCTTTCAGATTTTTCAGATCATGCTTTCTTCAGGATCTTTCCCCTTAATACAGATGTTTTGTTTTTAATAGAAGGTAATGATTTACTGATCATTATGGCTCTGGGAAAGTATTAAGAGTAGAACGTTCTTTTAATAATTTTCGATAGTTTTTGAACTTTTGTAAATGCCTGATAGTCTTTCTCAATTTATTGCACTTTTTCTTGTTGGGCAGTGCCTTTTATTTTAAAGTCTATAAAGTGTTAATTGAAGTTTACTAGTAATGGTTGGCCACACCATATATTTTTTTGTGGATTTGAATGCCTGGGAGCCCCACCGATGATTCTCTAAACTGAGTCATAAGTTCAGTGCAAGAGCCTCGGGATGTAGTGCTGGGGGTCTCCAGGGCCACACATGGTGATGCTCAGGTACCGTACAGTATTGGGAATCAAACGTGGTTGGGTAGGCAACTTTAGTAGGGCAACCCTTACTTGTTCTATGTGCTGGCCCCACATACTGTGTTTTATAAGCACATTTGTTCTCTGGTTTTTATTTATTTTCTCACCATCTTATATAACTAAGATATTTACCTTTTTTTTTTTTTTGCTTTTGGTTTTTTGAACCATACCCAGCAGTGCTGAGGGCTTACTCCCAACTTTGAGCTTAGGAAATACTCCTGGCTATGGTAGGGGATCATATGGGATCAAACCTGGACCAGCTGGGTGTGTGCAAGGCAAAAATGTCTTACCCACTATTCTGTCTCTATAGCCTAAGAAAAATACTTTTATAAACAGGACCTTTGTAGTATATAACCATAGATGAGACAGTTGCAGGTTTTTTCCCAGTTCCCTACACCAGAATGGTTTGAACCAGTTCATTAATGAAAGATAGCAGAATAAGAAAGCTGACGAGCATTTTCTCTCTTTTCAAGCCATGTTTATATTTTATTTAATTCAAATAATGTTAAATCCAAGAATGTCAATATGATTAAAGATAGTTTTTGAAGAATGTACATAGTAATTTTGAGTAATGTTTTAAAGTTGCTGTATATGTTTTAAAGAGTTCGCTTAATCCTAACTATATAAATTTATGAAATAAAATGATAGAATTAAAATTGAAATTTCCCTTAAGAAGTTGTTCACTGAGAAGATACAAGAGTCAGCAATGAAACTTGAGTTTCTTTAAAGCAGATCTAGGAATGAGGATAGAATAGCTTTAAAGATCATGAAATGTGGATGTTTCAGCAGATGATAACCAGATACTTTTTGACCATAACAATATTTACTCTCCTCTGGCATTCCTTCACTATCCTTAATCTCTCTCCATAGAATCCACACTTAGACCTTCAACGCAAATATCTGTTCTAAGTTAGCACTCTCCGTGAAAGCAGCACATTTCCAAATAGATATTAGATATGTCTAGAGAATCGACCATCAGCTCCAATCCTATATCTTCCTTATAATATTGCCCCAAAAGTTTTACCATTTATGTCCACCTTAGTTTTTTGATAATTCTTTTGTTCAAAATGCTTTCTGGGGCCAGATAGGTACTACAGGTTTAAAAACCTTACCTTACAAGTGGCCATCCCTGGTTCTATCCATGAGTTCTATCTGTCACTTTGCATGAGCACAGAACCAAGAGTAAATCCTGAGCAGTATACAGTGTAACCTAACTGCCACTTCCCGCATCCCCCAAAAGCTTTAATTATCCCAATTACGTTTAAGTTTTCAGCTGACCCTACTCCTTGGTAGTTCTCTTCTCAAAGCACAAATGCACTTTACCAACACCTACAGTCTTCAGTTTACTCATCCATTTTAATCCATTTTATTCCCATTGCACCAACCTAAAATGCCCTTTTATGTCTTACTAGAGCTACTAAATGTGCTTGTCGTTTTAGTCTTTAAAAATTTTTTTTAATATTGTTTCCAATACTATTAAAATTTTTGGTTTACAATTCCAGTGCTACTTAGGCCTATGTAATACACCAATCCACCCATGTTTTGAGATTCCACCTACGTTATCCCATGGCCCATCCCCTCCTGCCTCCCTCATCTCCTTAGTTTCCAACTCTGTTGACCATGTCTTGGGGGTTGTTTGCATTGAGGATTGTTTAATTCCTTTCTTTGTTTCTTTTTTCTCAGATGAGCAAGATCATCTGTTATTTTTTTACTTTACTTACTTCAGTTAGTATTATCCCCTCTAATTCCAAACTTAGCACACTGCGAAGTTTAGATCTTTTTCTCACAGCTAAATTCCATTGTGCATATACCCCACAGTGTCTTTTTTTCTCTACATCTTCCTTTACATATTGTGGACTGCTCTCAGATTATCATTTTCGTACTTGTTGAGATATGTCCTATGCTGGGAATCAGGATGTATTATAGTATTCCTTAGTTTAAGGACATCACATTTTCTTAACAAAAAAGCATAGATTTAAAAAAAAATTTATTAGGCACTATAAAGAGAGAAGGAAAAGCAATAGAGAATACTGGAGAGAAGCTTAGATATATATTTCATTTAGTACTGTGATCAGAAGGGACTCTTGAAACTTGAATAATGAAAAGAGATCAGCTCGAGGATGGAGGGGTAGGGTGCATGTTCCATGTTATAATCTGAGTGGAGGAAAGGCTTGGAATGTTTGAGTAACTGGACAAAAGATGGTTTTTGGAGCCACAATTGTTGAGTGATGATAAGTATCTTGATTTGGGTTTGGAGAGCTTGGCATGAACCAGATCATTCAAGGAATGTTAAGGAATCTATTTCTTTCTAAAAACAGTGCTTCCTTGGATCATTCAACAAATATTTACTAAATACCTACTATGTGCCAATGTTTATTAAGTTGATTAACAGTTTCTATTAACTCCATAGGTATGACAGTAAGTAAAACAAAGCTTCTGCCACATGCAAACCTGTTCTTTACAAGTGTTGGATAAATATAATCAGTTCCTTCTCATCTCCCTTTGCCCCAAAGTAGTGATACCAATCATAGCATCAAAGCTATTCCTGTTTGGATGATACCAACTCCTATTACCCAAGTGGCAGCCTAATTGGCATATGAAGCCAATATTTAGCTCTACCTCCAGCATTTCTTCCTGTTTACATACAGGAATTCTAAGAGGAATGTGAGTCAATGGTATAGAACTTAAAGTGGAGTAGAGGATGGAGTCAAGGATAAGATTGTAGAAATTTCTCACCCTGAGCCACAGAGTCTCCCAATAAGCACTGACCTATCTTGACATTTTGCGTTTACACCTTCTACATATTACCTGATCCGGCAGTCTGGATCCAAACTGGTGAACATGGTGTTCAATTTCAAAGCACCAAGATCTGCTCTTTCAGAACAGGACATGTTAAGACCTGGAGTTAGTATACAGAATAAACACAGTAGCACTGTGTTTAGCACTGTCCAGTTTAGCAAAAGGAATGTTGGTTTTCCCATTACTGATATAGTTGTCAGTGAAACAATCTTTGTCAGTGAAATAACTCTCTTGCAGAGTTCTGAACTAAGGACCTCTCCAAAAACAATGTTAACCAATTTTTTTTTTGGCTTTTTGGGTCACACCCGGCAATGCACAGGGGGTTACTTCTGGCTCATGCACTCAGGAATTGCTCCTGGTGGTGCTCGGGGGACCATATGGGATGCTGGGAATCGAACCTGGGTCGGCTACGTGCAAGGCAAATGACCTACCTGCTGTGCTCTCGCTTCAGCCCCTCAACCAATTTCTTACAGGAGTGACGTTAATGTCAGCACAGAACTAAGTAAGTAAAAGTAAAGGCCCTCCCGTTGATCTTCGATTTGCTCGAGCGGGCCCAGTAACGTCTCCATTGGAGACTTTGTTGTTACTGTGTTTGGTATATCGAATATGTCACGGGGAGCTTGCCAGGCTCTGCTGTGTGGGCGAGATACTCTCGGTAGCTTGCCGGGCTCTCCGAGAGGGGCGGAGGAATCGAACTCGAGTCGGCCATGTTGGCTGCGTGCAGGGCAAACGCCCTACCACTGTGCTATCGCTCCAGCCCCAGCACAGAACTATTTCTCCATAAATGGGAGCAGTAGACTGAGGACACTTCGCTGTCCTGAGGCTCTTACTGTTTCAAAGGCCTTCCTTGACCATCTGATACAGTATTGTACACTGTTTTTTTACCTTTAAATCTCTTACCTGCTTTAGTCCATCCACAGAATTTATCACTAAGTGGAACATTTGTTGTTTTTTTCTCTTCCTAATGTAAGTTTCATGAGAGCAAGAACACGGTGTCCCCTGTGCTCAGGCTTATAGTTTTAGCAAACATCTGTCCCATGAAAAATGGTTCTTTATTGACCACCAGAGTTATATGGTTTGTGGGGTTTTTTTCTTTCAGAGAAAATGTAAAACTGATAGTATTTAAAGCTTCACTTTTTTTTTTTTATGAGATACAATTACAAAGTTTTGGTCATACAATGGTCAAACACCCATCCCTTTACCAGTGCACCTTTTCTACCACCTAAGTCCCAGTATCTCCCAACCCCACCCCCTCCCCCATCCCAACCTGTCCCCTGCCTGTGTGGTAGACAATTTCCACAGTACTCTCTACTGATCTCTCTAATGATTACACTCAATATTTTGATACCAGTCCCACCATTATTATTTGGAATTTTCTCGTCACCACTCAAACCTGCCCAAAAGGCAACGCTAGACAATTTATTTTGTATTGCTTGTTCTGAATAGCATATGATGTCATGTGGCTGCAAGAGCAGCCGTGTGCTCCTGAAATTATAAAATTTTAATCATTAGGGTCTGGAGAGATCTCTGCAGCGAGCTGAGATTCTTTTTTGTGTTTCTGGATCATGTCCATTAAGGAGCTTAAGTGGTAGCCAGAAGCAGTTGGTGATCATCTCAGAGTCCCATGAGGGCAGGAGAGGGACTGACTCCTCCTCTATCTCGTGAGACGTGGCATTTGCTGTTACTGCTCCCTCATACCTGGGTTTTTCATTGGGTTCTAGAAGATGGTGAAGTTTCACTTCTTGACAAGCAGTTTTTATTTGCTATTCTGCCACAATATGAAGAAAACACATAGTTACTTGGTAACTGGCTGTGTAATTTTTGAAAGTCTCTTGGGGCCATTGTGAATATATCATACTATTAATACTTAATTTGGTCAGATTTAACAACAGAAGAAAATAAAACATGGAGTAAATAAAACTTTATTCTTTGAATTAAACGTGGGCTTCAGACATTGTGCAAAGATTTATCTTTATTGTCTTTATTAATTATTAGAGGCTTTTTATGTGTAGATGCACATTAGCAAAGATTTAATTGTATTTCCATTATTGCACAGCACTAATCTTAAAGAGTTTCTCCCTTTCTTAGGTGGTTTAAATTAAAAATATCACTATGACTTAAGTACTGTAGATAAAAACAAAAACTTTCTGAGACTAGAGGAGTTAGGACAGTTGCCTTCCATGCAACTGACTTGGGTTCAGTCTTCAGCATCCCATATGGTCCCCTGAGCACACCCCCAGGAGTAATTTCTGATTGTAGAGAGCCAGGAGTAACCCCAGAATATCACCAGGTGTGGCTCCCAAACAAACAACAACAAAACAACCACTTTCTGAGGAAGAGTTTATTATCTACAGGAAGCATAGAATACTATGAATCCTGAACATTTTTTTTGAATTTTATTTTCATAAAGTTGTTTGTGATGAATCATGAAAATTTTATTTTCAATTTTGCCCCAGTGATGATATTCAGAGCTCTAAAAACTATTTTGATCATTTTTGTAACTTCTAATAAGCTGAAGAATAAACTAAAATTTGCCTGACTTTTAAATTTGAATTTGATAGTTTTAACAGACCAATTTATGCAGTTATTAAAGTATAACATTTTAAGCAAATGGAAGAATAGCTGAATGTGGCTATTAAAATAATTCCACCTAGATTGTTTAATAAAATGTCTTCTTGTTGAAAGCTACAAAATCGAAATGGTTTCATTCTAATTTGACCATTTAACTAATGTTACTTGTCTGTGTCTCATGTTTCTTTAATTCTTCCTTTGTAATATGTCCACTTTGCCCCTATAATCTGGGAATTTAAACAGATCCTTTAATTGTATAACTTCTTAGGTCACTGCTTCAAAGTAGTTTATATTCACAGAAAAATTAAGGAAACACATAGAATTCTGATTTCATTAAAAAAAAAATCCCATTCCCCCGCATATACAGCAAAATTGAGAAAATGCATAGAATTCCGATTTCATTAAAAAAAAAATCCCCCCCCCCCATACAGCTAAATATTAAAGAGAGACTTTTCTAGCAAGAAAACAATTTACATTGTTAGGAAGCATTTTCAGCTAATATAGGCAGGCCTTAGAACAATCATCAAAGGAAGGAAGTGGGCAGTCTGTTTTTTTGCCTGGTAGAGTTAGGCTGATGTAATTGTATATACATATTTCTGGCTTTTAGGAAAACTCATGCATATATATGAGAGGGGTGAGGCATCTGTAGTTGAGGTACATACAGAAAATATTCTTTGAATGTATGGAAAATGGCAGAGAAATCTACCATAGCACATCATTATCACCCAGTCCTTTGTTTAACTTTACAATTCACTCCTCGTTTTGTATATTCCAAGGACTTAAACAAGTATATAATAGTATATGTCTACTATTATTGAATAATACAGAGTATTTTCTCTATCCTCTAAATTCTTTGTACTCCCCTGTTCATCTTCTGCCAACCTACGGGAACAGTTGATCTTTTTACTTGCCTTTTTCAGAATGTCATAGTTGAAATCAAGCAGTATTGTAGCCTTTTAAGATAAGCTGCTTCTACTTAGTAGTACACATTTATGACTCTTCTGTATCTTTTCATTGCTTGATAGCATGTTTCTTTTTCACACTGAATGTTTCATTGCTCTGGTATACTACAGCTTACTTACCCTTTACCTACCTTTCGATAACTAAGGTTGCTTCTGAGTTTTAGCAATTATGAAATATGTTGCCATAATATAGCATAATGAAGGTTTTGTGGTGGAGGTAGGTACTCAACTAATTTGAGTAACTATTTAGGAGAATGGTAAGAGTGTACTTGGTTTTATTTTATTTTTAAAAGTAGTCTTCCAAAGACAGTATCGAATTTTTATATCACCAGCATCAATAAATGAGAGTTCTTGATGCTGGACCACTTTTCTTGATGTGTAGCAGTGTCTCATCTTAATTAGCAATTCCCTAATGACCTATGACCTAGAATTATTTTGTAGACTTATTTGCCATCTGTCTGTTTTCTTTGGTGAGGTTATCTGTTGAGGTCTTTTGCCCCAATTTTTAATTCAGTTCATTTTAATTTTGAGTGTTTAGAATTCTTCATGTTTTGGGTAACAGACTTTTATCAGAGATATTTGAGAAATATTTTTACGGGATGTTCTCTTCTTGAATAGTCTTTTTTTCTTAAAGATTTTTTTTAACTTTGGGGATAATAACATGATTTTTTTCACTTCTGAATAATTGTGAGATAAAATAACTTAGTCTTTTAGAAATTTATACTTACATACCAAATATACCAACCACTAATTCAGTATTGGGCTCTGAGAATTTTTTAGTGATATGAAGTGAAAAGTGAAGTGAAATTCAAAAAGAAGCTTTGATAAATTTTTTTTTCCACTCTAATAGCCATTCATTACCAATATAAGGGTGGGACAAATGATCCACGAGGAACATAAGATAATTATTTCATTGACAAAAAAACTCATAAAACTTCTGTGTTCATCTTGGTTTCAAAAAAAAACTATCAAACTGATTTCATGATAGACACTAGAAAATGCTGGTATTTGAAATTCTTTGATAGAGTAGTGCTCTGCTATAGGGTTTGGTAATTTAATAATTTGTTTCTCTAAGATACAGAATACTAAAAACCAAGCATTTTAATAAATCGTATTTTTCTCATTTTATAACTGGCTTAAAAGTTTTTTCCTTAAAATATATATTCAGCTTATTTTATTTTTTAAGTTTTTAAATTCTGTAAGTTTTTAGCTCAGTTTCATAGAGGGGGGTGATTCAACTTTTTAAATCAAAGGAATATATGTATAATAGTTCAAGAAACAAGTTTTAATATTCGTACTTTCCTTTGTTAAAATAAATTCGTTGTTCTCTATCTAATTGGGTTTACAGATAGTATTTCCAGGCCTTGATTATTATGTTAATTCACTGGCTCCTTTCATTGAAAAGGATCAAATTTCTGGCAAACAAGCTCTTCTCTCTTTCCTGACCACTGTTTTCCTCTCTGTTCCACAGAGTAGTAAATACTGAGGTAGAAATGAGGAGAGACAACTAGAATATGAAGTGGAAAGAAAAGCAATTCATAAATAAGAATGCCAGAAAAATTTAGGAGGACAGACAATAAATCTCAAATAAATTGAGGTTTTGTTTTTGATCCTGGAAGCTTTTGCTTTTTAATGAAGATTAACACTTGGATTGTGAATTTTTTTTTTAGTAATATTGAATAAAATATATAAGATGACAGTTTCTAGTTTTATTAGGGTTTTACAGAGTAATAAAAAGCTTAGAATTTAAAATAGCCCTTATAAGTGGTAGTTTATTTACATGACTTTTTTTTCAAGTGGAGATTAAGGATACAGTGTACTATGGCCTATTGCTGGAAAGTACAAGTAAGTACCACTATTTAGTACTAGATGTTACTATAGGGAAAAAATTACCAGATGATTTAAGCATATTTTTAGTTCTTTATAATTTTATTACTACTTACCTTAATTTTATAAGTAAAAGTTATTAGAAAGTGACTTAAATTATGAAAATTTATATTTAAAAATTTACTGGTAAATTAATAGTATAGACTTTTGGCAAATTTTGCAAATTTACTAACAATAAGACACTAATTATATATATATATATATTTTTCCAAAAGCAGAGTGAAGCCTGCTTTTTTTAGCCACCTCTATTTATATTGGCATATTAATGAGAATGTATCTACCTATGTTTTTAAAATTTGGATTTTTAAGTGGTTGCAAAGAAATTGATGTTAATTTTTACTATTTTGATGATGATAAATTTTGAGCATAATAGTGCAAAATATTAGGGTGCAAAATGAGTGCCCTTACTTTGGAGAGGATATAAGATCAGAATTGAGTAACTGTGCAAGTATAACAAGCCAGCAAGACAGCAACGCCTCATACATTAATGTTTCCTCTACTCCAGAACCTAAAATTCGCTTGCTTCAAATTGAGACCATAAGTTCACTAATTTACACCACCATAAATTCTTTCTCTAGAATATGGAATGTAGCCTCATTCTAAGATGCTATAAGTCTTAACTACTATTCTTTTATAGTGTATTTGCTGACAGGTTTTCAAAAGATAATTTTCAAATGTGCTCTGTATAATTATGTGAGGTTGTATTCTTAATGAAATTAAATGCCAGGAACATCCTGAAGGATAAAAAAGACTTCTCAAGAAATCCTCATTGTTTTGACTCTAGTTTATCTCACGGGCTTTGTGTTGACAGGAAGAACAGGCAGCAAAGTTGAAAGCTGAGAAGATCAGAGTTGCATTGGAGAAGATTAAAGAGGCACAAGTGAAAAAGGTGATAGTTTGGATTTTTCTGGCTTTATTTTTTGTCAGTTTTATAGATTTATAAGGAATTGCAATGCTTTTAAAATGTGCTTCTAAGACAGAGAAATAGAGGATATTTCTTCCTAATTTTTCACAAGATATCTTTGAGAGAAAATGCATTATTTAAGAAATAACATTCTCATTTTAAATTATCCTAAATGAACGAAACAAAGTAGATTTATAATCTTAACTGTTATAATTATTGAACTCCTTTAAATTTGTTTAGGATATTTGATACCTGATTTTTAGTGTATCTTTCTTGCATGATAAAGTCATTTAGTTGTATTTTAAATGTAAAGACATCAGATGGTTGGTATTGGAAGAAACTTCTAGAACACCTTTTTGGTTTGTATTTCATTTCCTTTTTTACCTATTATAGCTGGTGATTAGAGTCCACATGTCTGACGATAGTTCTAAAACAATGATGGTGGATGAGAGGCAGACAGTGAGACAAGTGCTGGATAACCTGATGGACAAATCTCACTGCGGTTACAGTTTAGACTGGTCATTGGTGGAAAACATCTCTGAGTTACAAATGGGTTAGTAATATTTAATTACGGTTTTATTTCTGTGTGATTACAAGTTTTTATATTGATAAAAAGCACTATAAGATGCCATTAGATATCTTTTTTTCTATATGACTTTAGCTTTTTCACATAGCTTCTGAATACATGATTGATTTCCAGTTCAAGTCAGATTTTATGAGTAGAACAACCTTTTTATGTATTTATTTTTACTTTTTTTTTTTTTTGCCCATAGCAGTGGTGCTCAGGGCTTATTCCTGGCTCTGTGCTCAGGGATCACTCCTGGTGGTGCTCAGGGGACCATATGGGATGTCAGGGATCAAACCCAGGTCAGGTATATGCAAGGCAAGCACCCTTTCTGCTATACTAGTGGCTCCAGCCCTGTGTTTGCTCTTTTAAAAGTAACAACATACCTTTTCTTTCAAGTAAGATTTGCATAGGTTGACGTATTTGCTGCATACAGTTATATTTATTCCCTTTGGTAACATTTATACCAGCTTTCAGGGAAATATAAATCACATCTTTCTTAATTTTCAGCTAGATGTACTACATTGTAGTACACCCTGTTTTCCTATGACTTATAGTTTGGCATAGTAATTTCTAACATAAAATTTTATGTTTTATTATGCCACCAGTTATGGGGACCAAATAGTGTGCTGGGTGAGGGGAGGGCATGCCGAATGGAACTCGGGGCCTCATTCATTCTCGCATGTGCTCAGCTACATGAACTGCAGGCCCCAGCCTACACCAGAAACTCTTTCAGAAAGTTTTCTTTTTCCAATATTAGTTGTTTGGTTACAGAAATTTTGGCAATAATTATTTTGCTAGACTTTTTTTAATTAGCAATCACTTTCAAACTGCTGATTTTTAAAATATATTTGCGTTGCTCTTACTGCTTATTTTGTTTTGTTTGGGGCCACACCTGGCTTTGCTCCATTTCTACTCTGTGCTTGGGTCCTATTCCTTGCTCAGTGTTTAGAGGACCATGTATTGCTGGGGATTAAATGCAGGCCTCCTTCATACAAAGCATTTGTTCCAGCCCATTGAACTATCTCTCTGGCCATACCTGTTTTAAAATGTATGAGTGTGTGTGTGTGTGTGTGTGTGTGTGTGTGTATTTTTTCACACTTTCCAGAGAAAAATAAAATTTTTTAAATTCTTCTATCTCAGATTTCACATACCGCTAAGTACAAATCTTAAGCTATTCCTGGTTTATTTGTATATAAAAATGTGTTCTAAGAGGGCCAGAAAGATAGTACAGGAGGTAATAGATTTGCCTTGCATGTGGCAGCAGTAGCCATGACCTCGGTTCAAATCCCCAATTCCATTTATTGTCTGCTGATCACTGCTGGGGGTTGCCAAGTCCATTCCCACTGCCCTCCATTTAAAAAAATATATTCTAACAATATTCACCTTGTCTGTTTGGAGAGAATTTTTAAATTTTGGTTTCATAAATGTAGCACAATATACAGAAAATGTTTGAATGCTGGTTTTTAATGTTTAATGATTTAAAAATCCTATAATTTAACGATTATAGGATAGAGACCCTTTTTTTTTTCCTTTTTGGGTCACACCCAGCAATGCACAGGTGCTACTCCCAGCTCTGAACTCCAGGAATTACTCCTGGTGGTGCTCAGGGGACATTTTGGGATGCTGGGAATTGAACCCGGGTCAACCGCATGCAAGGCAAACACCCTACACGCTGTGCTGTCACTCCAACCCCTGACCCATTTTTTTATATGTGACCCAGTATTTCACACACAGTGTGTGACCATTTGTATTTGGCCAGTACTTGTTGAATAAACAAAAGGAAAAAAAAGAGACTTCCAAAGTTCCGAATAAGATGCTGAAAACGAGTTATGATAAACATAAATTAATTTTAAAAGCTTATTAAGAGCAATAAATAAATAATATATTGTGTCCTCTCTATAAAAGACAAAGATAAAATGCAAAGTTAAAAGTACAAGGAATGAGGGTTCAGGGAGATAGTATGGAGGTCAGAGCATTTGCCTTGCATGCCACTAACCTAGGTTTAATCCTGGGCACTCCATATGGTCCCTCACCCCCACCAGACTGGATCTTTGAGTGCAAAGCCAGGAGTAAGCTCTGAGCTCTGCCAGTATAGCCCAGAAACAAGTGAAAAACAGTACAAGGAATGAAAAGGCACTAAAATAAAAGGAATGTAACTGAATATCAGACAAAGTAGACATTAAGCAAAATACATTATTAAAGGGAACAAAACCTTCAAAGGGAACTATAACCATTCTAAAGTTTTTCTTACTAGAATTTTATCAAATTATTAAAATCAGCAAAGCAGAAGTTGACAGAACAACCAGGAGAAATTCACTGAGTATAAAATACGCACTTTTCATTAATCAGTATAATCCAACAGATAAAATGGGTATCAAATATTTGGAGATTGAAGTTGATGGAATAGATGTGTTTGGAACACTCTTTCATGATAGGAAAACTTCATGTTCAAGTAGAAATTACATATTTGCAAAAATTAAACATGTAGTCATAAGCAACTCAGAGATTTCAAGTCATACCTAGAGTATGTTTTTTGAACATATGCTCAATCTATTCTTTGATGTCTAATTTGGAAATTAAAAACTAAATCTGTGTTTAAAATTAAACAAAACTGTGGATCACAGAAGATCTTGGAAATTTTTTAAATGCTAAGAACTGATTATTGGAAATACTTCTGATCAGAGTTAATGAAATGTAACTAACTTTTTATTTTAAAGGGTGGAATAAGAAAGACTGAGGCTTAAAAAATTGATGTATTGCAATCATAAGACCTAGATTATAGTCCTGATTCTTTCTGAGACCTTTTCAAAGACACTTAAAAACAGGGCATGTTTTTGTATTTGTAAGATGAGGGAAGACAGGTTATCTCCAAGGGCAGTGTTGGTCAAGACCCTATGTTTCTGGTGTGAATCACTCAACAAGGTTTGATGACTCTAATACTTACTAATACGTGTATTTTATTTTGGGACAGAGAGAATCTTTGAAGATCATGAAAACTTGGTTGAAAATCTTCTAAACTGGACAAGAGATAGTCAAAACAAACTTCTCTTTATGGAACGTATAGAAAAATATGCACTTTTCAAAAACCCACAGGTGAGACAAACTTGCAGAGCTTAGGATTTTAAAATATTTATTTTGTCACTGCCAAGTTAATACATTTAAAAGATTGACAACCTCCTGGTTAGTGCATGTGACTACAAAACCAACAGTGAACCACTTACACCTAGTGAGGTATGAAGTCTGCGCAGGCCCAGTGTTAGGCCCAGGGAGGTTACAACAGTCCTACAGAGTCAGATGGGGTGAGCGCCTAAGGAAGCAGAGTTGTAATTGCCTGGAGTGTTTAGGTTTCGTTCTGTATAATCCAGAACTATACTGAACCCAGCTATTGATTCGATGAGTTTCTTATACATCAAAGTACATGTTACTCTACTATCCAATTGGTACTATTTGAAATTTTTTTTTTGATCGAGATAACCCTGATTATAATCGGTTCCATGTTCCAGTGTATTTACCCTCACTTATTTTACCCTTTTGCTTATTCCAAGTGCTATTTAATTCTGAATATACAGTATTTTATTCAACATGACTATAAAAACAGTGAAAAGTTAAAAGGTACAGAAAAGTTATCCTTCAGTCAGCTTAGTCGTCATAATACATCTTTTCTGGATACTTACAAAAAATACACACTCTGGAATAACAAAAGATCTTTTTATGCTCTATTGTGTAAAAAATTGTCAAAAAACTGATAATTAAAATTAGCATATTAGTTGATAGCACAGTGGCAGGGCATTTGCGTTGCACATGGCCAGCCCGGTCGAGCCAGGTTTGATTCCCCCACCCCTCGGAGAGCCCGGCAAGCTACTGAGAGTATCTCGTCCGCCTGGCAAGCTACCCGTGACGTATTCAATATGCCAAACACAGTACCAACAAGTCTCACGGTGGAACGTTACTAGGCCCGCTCAAGCAAATCGATGAACAACGGGAGGACAGTGCTGCAGTGCTATAGTTGGTCCAAGCAAATGACATAAAAGTATCAGGGAATTTAGAATTTCCCCGTTAAAAACAGAAATATATATTTTTCTGTATCTGGATCAGTTAAGTTCAGCATTTTTAATTATTATGTTTTTGGTTTTGAGGCCACACCTGACAGTGCTCAGGAGTTACTCCTGGCAGTGCTTAGGGTTCCATATGGGTGCTGAGGATCAAATCAAGATTGGCCACGTACAAGACAAGAGCTCTACCCATTGTATGATCTCTTACCCCAAGTTCAGCATTTTTAAACTAAATTTCCCTTATACTTGATGGTTTATAAATCGCTGCGGTCAAACCTTTCATTAGGTATACCAAAACTATGTTTTTGAATGGGGGAGGAATGGGTGGAGGGGTAATAGGCCATGCCCAGCTGTGTTCAAGACTTACTCCTGGCTTGTGTTCAATGATCACTTCTGGTGGGGATTGGGGAACCAAGTGCTGTGAAAATGCCTTACCTGCTGTACTCTATCTCTGACCTCTACTAAAATAAATTTTTGCGAGTTGTTGCATGTACTGCATGTACATGTGAGTTGTTGCATGTACTGCTAAAAAAATTTTTGCGAGTTTTTGCATGTACTGCCACATCAGGATTGGAGGGAGGGCTGCTTATGAAATAATTCAAGAGAAGTGATAAAGGTGAGAAGGACAGCATTTCATATTTTAGTGGTGAGATCCACTTTTCAAAGGAGTTCTTCCTTCCTTCTAGATAGGCAATCATTGACACAATGTCATTATGTCAATAGACACATCCTTTGTGCATCAGTATTAAGGAAATAATGGAACATATTTTTTCCTTTAACTTTCTTGTATTCATTTCCCAGAATTACCTTCTTGGAAAAAAAGAAACTGCTGAGATGGCAGATAGAAACAAAGAAGTACTGTTGGAGGTATGAGACTCTATCTTTGTAATATTTAAAATACTACATGTCTTTTAAAGTCAAGTATGTCACTGTTTTATATTTATAATTACGCTGTAATTAAAGAGGGCTACATTCTTGGACCTATGGCCTGGGGGAGAGAGTTCCACTTTGTGAACTTAACACCAATAAAGAATATGCCAAGCAAATTCGAATGTACTAAAAGGATTAAGGAATATGTAGGAGCTCATAGGTGGACAAAAACGTTAGTCAGTGAAGGATGTGATTGTACTGTTTTATGTGCTTATGCAGAAAAAAAAATTTGAATTTAGTTAGTGTTTAGAGTCCTGGCTTTAACATAGTTTTTAAAAATTCATATTTCCCTTTAAAAACTCTAATTTTGAAAAGTAATAATGCAAATTTAAACATGACTGATTATTTGATTTTTTTTGGCTTTCACTGATTTTAGAGAGCTGTAGATTAAGGAAGTTAGAATGTTAGAAACCCAACTAGATTCTATTTTTCCCTAAATTTTACTTTATTTTTATAAAGTTGTTCACAGCAATTCATTACATTTAATATTCAAGCACCAATCCCACCACTATTGTACCACCATATTTCGAATGTTTCCACCCCAAATTGTGCCCCCCAAAGCTTGGTACATCGTTGTTGTAGAACCCAACTATATTCTTAACAATATAAAAATAAAGGTCATCATTCAACTTTTCATAGTGATAGAATGCATGATTTCTAAAAATTATTTTAGTAAGGGCTGGAGCGATAGCACAGCGGGTAGGGTGTTTGCCTTGCATGCAGCCAACATGGCTGACCTGAGTTTGATTCCTCAGCCCCTCTTGGAGAGCCTGGCAAGCTACCGAGAGTATCTTGCCCGCACAGCAAAGCCTGGCAAGCTACCTGTGACGTATTTGACATGCCAAACACAGTAACAAGTCTCACAATGTTACTGGGCCCGCTCGAGCAAATCGATGAATAACGGGAGGACAGTGACAGTGACAGTGACATTTTAGTTAGGAATATGATTTTGTGGTAGAGCACGTTCCTCTCATATTTGAGACCCTAAGTTTAGTCCTACAGCACTACAAGACAGAAAAGAAATAAAAATTGTCTATAAAAATTCTCGAAATTTTTAATATACATTTAACCTAGTTTAAATTTTTTAAATAGTTTTAATTTTTTTTAATCTCAGGATCATTAATGTTTGAAAGATGTGTTCCAAGTTTGTTTCTTCACTTACTGCTTATGCTTCTTAGTTATATTTCTTTTCAACTTGACAGTTAATTTTAATGTATTGTTAATTTAAGAAAAAAACCTGCATGTCAGTTCTGACACCTTTATTAAATACAGTACACAAAGACATGATTAAAGACTGTTCATAAATGTATAGTGCTATTGTATATAGTTCAGTTGGCATTTCAATTTAGTTCCTGCTAAACAAAGTTAAAGTTCAGTGGCAAAGCTTGTCAGTCCATTTGCTTCACAAAACTCTTGGTATTTCCATAGCATTATTGCCATTGCAGTTCTAAAGCTCTAACTGACATAAAATTTGTAGTTGATTTTATTATAGGCATTGTAGTTACTGTCATACATTTCACAAAGTAAATACTCTTTATTTTGAGAATCCAAAGTCGTGTCTTTATAAATCATTTTTAAATTTCAGGAATGTTTTTGTGGCAGTTCTGTCACTGTACCAGAAATTGAAGGAGTCCTTTGGTTGAAAGACGATGGCAAAAAGTCCTGGAAAAAACGTTACTTTCTCTTACGAGCATCTGGTATCTATTACGTCCCTAAAGGAAAAGCAAAGGTATGTGTCCCTTTTGACTCTTGAGCTTCCTCACTACGCTGAGGAAGCAAAATTCCTCATCATACTTAAGCTGTTTTTGCAGTTTCTTCCAGAGTAGTTTTTGTTTTTTGTGGTTTTTGTCATTGTTTGGAGTTGCTTGTTTTCTGGGACAGTCATTATGACAAAAAGGTGTTTCGGCCTTGTTTGGGTCATATGCTTCAGTGAGAGTCGCCTTGTCTAAGCTTTTGCTTGTTATGCTTACTACAGGCAGCACTGTTTTAAAAGTTCCTTACAAAAGCATCATCTCATTCAAACTTTACCATCATTCTGAGAGGTGTATTTACTTATTCTTGTCCTCATTAAGTTAGTGAGGAAATTTTATCTTGAAAATCACTATACTTGAGATATTATAGGCACCCAGCTATGTGATCTGTAGTATGAAGAAGTATATCTCTTCTCAGGAATTTCTATTATACTATATAATATACTATTTTTAAATTCTTTTTAAAATGCTACTAATTCTAAGAAAGTTAGTATTTATTGCAATGGTCGGACAGTAAGTAAAACTGATTTTTTGTTATATTGAGAATTAAAGAAAAACCATTCTAGAGACTCTCACTGTGTTCTCAAAAATTTCTCCTTGGTAAATTTTTATTCTTAGATAGAAACTGTTACCAGGTATGAAAAGTTACTTATTTACATATTGTCAATTTTTTTGTGTGTGTGCTTTTATTTTAGGTCTCTCGGGATCTAATGTGCTTTCTCCAGCTGGATCATGTCAATGTTTATTATGGACAGGACTATCGAAACAAATACAAAGCACCTACAGACTATTGCCTGGTGCTAAAGGTAGAAATTTATCTCTTAGAAATTTTAATTCATTTTAACGTAGAATGAATTATTGACCACCTTAGAATAATTTGAATCTCCACTGAAGATACTGTTTTTGCATTAGTGTGTAGGTTTAGTCTGTATACTGGGTTTTGTTTTTGGATTTTGGTGGGGTCCAGACATAGCTGAGCTCAGGGCTTATTCCTGGCTCTCTGCTCAGGAATCACTCTTAGTGGTGTTCACGGGACCATGTACAGTGTCAGGCATCAAACTGGGATTACCCCTGTGCAAAGTAAGTCCTGTAACCCCTGTCTGTCTCTTCAGAAAATTTACCTAAACTGTAAATTCTTAAAAGAATGGCTGACTCAAATAGCAGAACATATTCTTTGCATATGTGAGGCCCTGGATTCAAGCCTCGGCACTACATGCTTCTCTTCCCGCCATTACTACCGGCACTACCGGGTCTGGTTCTTGTATCCCATAAGCACCATTAGGAGTTATCTCCACAACAAAAATTTTAAAACAGCTGACCAAACTGAGGATTAAAGAGCTGACCTAATCAGATAAATGCTATTTAAAAATGAATAGTAATTGTAAGCTTTGAGTCTATACATGAATATACCATATATAGTGATAGGATATGTGTGTGTGTGTGTGTGTGTGTGTGCATATATACATATATATGTATATGATAGGTTTGAGACTTTCCTTGCAGTCTTTTTTTTTCCCCTTTTTGGGTCACACCTGGCGATGCTCAGGGGTTAATCCTGGCTCTGCACTCAGGAATTACTCCTAGCGGTGCTCAGGTAATCCCAGTGTGGATGCTGGGAATTGAATCTGGGTCAGCCACGTGCAAGGCAAACACCCTACCCGCTATGCTATCTCTCCAGCCCCACAGCCTTTTTAAAGGAAAACTTTAAAGTGGGTGACAAATATTTTTCAGTTCTTTTCCTGTACTTACTTGGCAGAGCCATCAGAGGGCACTGTGCCCAAGGTCAGAGGGGACTGGCTCTCTTCAAGTCCAGAAGTAATTTTTATCTTTCTTTCCCCAATAGACTGAAGCCTTTTTAACTCATACATGTATTATGATCTGAGTTGTTTGCATACAGTTAAGTGCTTACTAAAGAAGTTAGAGGGTGGAGTGTTAGATTGTTTTGATTTTTAACTTTGTACTTGTTGAGGGAATTTCCAAGTGTATTTTATTGATTTCATGGATTTCCACAACAAATGACTAGCTGTAGATAACTGGCTCGGGACCTTTTAGTCTTTATCCCCCCCCCCAAAAAAAAAGATAAGCAGTGATTAATAACTACATCCAGAACCAATTATGACTTTTTTGTCCCAGGGGACTAGTGGTTATGGCCCAGTGGAGTTAAACTAACTTGATTCTGATATAGCACTTTTATGTTTTAGTTTTGCTTGTTTAGGGGCCACATCTGGTGCTTATCAGGGCTTTCTCCTGGCCCTATGCTCAGGGATCTCTACTGGCAAGGCTCAGGGAACCATATGGGGGGCTGGGAATTAAACCAGGTTCACCTGCATGCAAGGCAAATGCCTTACCCTACTGTCTCTCCAACCCCATTTTACATTTTTGTCGAGCATATTTTAGTCAGGTTCAGGTCAGTCACCTTTCACAAAAACCGTGACTGAGAAGTACACTGGGTTGTGAGAAAAGACTCAAATGTTGCAGTGAAGAAGCAGCATGTTCCCAGGGCTCCATGTGCAGACAGTGATCCGCTCAGCTTCCCTGGAGCCTCGCTGCTGGTGTGTGCACTGGCTGTCCAGGTGCTGTGCCCTGTGCTCTGACCATCATCCAGTCACCTGTTGCAGAGTGCTGGGAGTATCACAGGAGACTAGCTGGGGTTTTCTGAACCCGACTTCAATGAATACCAAACCAAGTGAGACCAGATATTCTCATCTCTTTTCATAGTTTTATAGCTGCTACAGAAAGCAGCTGACTTTGTTGATCTTGATGGATTTTGTTTCTTTGAAATGAAGAAGGGTAGGTATTTGGGGGATTTCTCATAACATGAACATTTTTTTAAAAACTGGAATATCTTGGGCCACAGCGATAGTGCAGTAAGTAGGGTGCTTGCCTGGCATGCAGCTGACCTGGATGATCCCCAGAACCCCATATGGTCTCCTGAGCACTGCCAAGAATGAGCACAGAGCCAGCAGCAAGCCCTGGGTGTCACCTCACCCCCACCCCTTCCCCAAATAAGATTTGAACATTTTGACTAAAATTTAACCCCAAAAATTTTTTTTTCATATACTTGGTAGAAAAAATTTTTATTTAGCCAGATAACAAGTATAAATTATTTGGCCATTATTGGGATCTATAACTTGGGATGAAACGGTTAATCTTGGATAGTTGGTTGTTTTGTTTTTTTTTACTTAAGTTCTCCAGGAGACTTAATTGAGTTTTGCTTTTAATCTTGTAGCACCCGCAGATTCAGAAGAAATCTCAGTACATCAAATACCTTTGTTGTGATGATGTGAGGACACTACACCAGTGGGTCAATGGCATTCGAATTGCAAAGGTAGTATTGGTTTTGTTTGATGATAGAAAGGGGTATTTTATGATATGCTTTCTTTTTTTTTTTTACAATTCTGATAGTTTCATATTCATAATTTTGGCAGTGTCTTAATTTTCTCAGGGCTGAATTTCATGATTTTAATGACTTTTTGGCAATGGAAATAAACTTTCAACAGTTGCTATCTATGGTATGCTGCTAATAAAAGCTTAATAATCATCAGCTTTTCTTCCAAGCTTGTGCTCTCTCTTGAAAACATATCTCTTCCTCTCTTGTTTTTACCCTCTAGAGAAAACTGTATTCTCTTGAATATTCCTCTCTTACCTTTCTAAATGTCTTTCAGTAAAACCTGTTGTTTCACTAAAACAACAAAACACTAGTTTTGGCTTTGAAAAAAATTAGTTTTGGCTTTGAAAAAAATGCATTGATTGTTCTTATATAACAGAGCTTAATCTAAGCAAAAGAAAAAAAATTGACTTGAAGGAAGGAAACATAAATAAATAGAGTATAGAGGATTTTTAGGGCTGTTAAATATTCATACTCTGGAATGGCAGAAACATGTCATTATACATTTTTTTCCAGACCCATTGACTATATAACACCAGAGTGAACCTAAGATTAAATTTTGAGTGATTGTGTTATGTTAATGTAGATTCATTGATTGTGACAAATATACCTCTCTGGGAGGGGATATTGATTGATAATGGAAGAGACTCTGTGGGTTAAGGGGTAGGGATATGTGAGAAATTTATACCTTCCTCTTAGTTTTGCTGTGAACATAAAACTGCTCTAAAAGGATTCTTTAAAGAATCCTCCCTCCCCAAAAGGACACCTTAAATATGATACTTGAAGGATATATATTCCTATTTAGTAGTTGAAAATAAAATTTATTATAGCCCTAAAAAATCAAACTGTTTTTAAGAATAACTGAAAAATCTGTGTGGAGTAAATGATAATTTGCTCTTACTAAGAGAGTTTGAAGTATTCCTTATGTTAATGCAGACTGTAAATCAATAAGCAGAAATATGTCCCCCTTTCCCACCCCAAGTATTTGTTCTGTACATTTCCACTTAAGTTCATGTCATGATTTGCTTCTTTTTAGTACGGGAAGCAGCTGTATATCAACTATCAAGAAGCCTTGAAGAGAACAGAATCAGCTTATGATTGGACTTCCTTATCCAGCTCTAGCATTAAATCAGGATCCAGTTCTTCCAGCATCCCAGGTAGTATGGAATACTGAAACGCTATTTATTACCAATACAAAAGTGTCAGTGAAGACTGATGATAAGACCTAGTTACTTCAGCATGATTTTTAAGAACCAGAACCATATTTAATTTTCAAATTGGAACCAGTAGGCATAGGTGCTTTTTTTTTCCATTCTATTGTTAGAATGGTATCAAGAACCAGTTAACATGTATCTGAAATGTCAAAACATTAAATTTATATATATATAAAGGCAGGAGTTTATATAATATTTACTCATATTGCTGAAAAACACCCATTGAAGCACAATTGGGGACCGAATATTGCTTAGAGACAGTTTATATATTTGAATACCTGATGAACTGTGTTCTAGGGTTCACTAAAGTAGAAATCACTAGAATTAATTTAGTATCCTAGTTAGGCTATTTAACTTCCAAAAGATGCATCTTCCCAGACTCCACATCCTTTTACAAGGGTTACATGTGATCACTTCTTGAAATGACTATTTCTTTGCCTTCAGAATTTCCAAAATTAGAAATTTTTTTTCTGACATCATATATTGCAGCAGAAATAATTGCTTTAAGAAGTATTTATTGGGAGCTGGAGATCAGATATATAGTACAGTGGATAGGGCAATTCCCTTGCACATTGCTGACCCCAGTTTGATCCCCAGCACCCTATATGGTACCCTGAACCTGCCAGGAGTGATTCCAGAGTACAGAGTCAGCAGTAAGCCCTGAATGCAGCCAGGTCTGGCCCCAGAAAAAAAAAATTATTAAAAATCTTGGGGGTTGGAGCCATAACACAGAGGGTAGGGCGTTTACCTTGCACGCAGCCGACCTGGGTTCGATTCCCAGCATCCCATATAGTCCCCCAAGCACCGTCAGGAGTAATTCCTAAGTGTAGAGCCAGGAGTAACCCCTGAGTGTCACCGGGTGTGACCCAAAAAAGCAAAAACAAAAAAATTATTAAAAATCTCTGTGACTGGGGCCGGAGTGATAATACAGTGGGTAAGGCATTTACTTTGCATGTGTCTGACTCAGGAGTGATCCCTGGGTGCAAAACCAGGAGAAAGCTCTGGACACAACTGGGTGTTCATCCCCCCCAAAAAAAAATTTTTTTAAAGGACCTTATGACATAATTTCAACTCAACAGAAATGAAAGGGATTTAGAATATACATATATGTGGGCTAGTATACGTGTTTCCTGTTTCAGTCTTCTAAGAGCACTTAGAGGTGACATGCCTGTTCTGTCTGCTTAGAGAACCTAGAGGTGACACATAGAAGCAATGGGAATAGAGTGCTGAGATCTTAGACATCTCCCTCGCCCCTTCCCCTCCCAAAGCCTAGCACTAAGAACTCTGGGAATGGTTAATTATATATCATATATATTGTTTTATAGTTAATTATATTATTTATAGTATTTGTATAATTTTTATGACAGTATTTAAGATGAACTTGGAACAAGTTACAGTGCAAGATATGGGGAAGATTTTCCCAAAAAAACACAATTAAAGAGTACATAAAAGAACATGAGAGTACATATAAGGAGAGTAATTCAGATGGGCATTTTAATTTGAGCAACAAAACATGCTGTGAGAGGATACCTTCGATTGTAAAAGAAATACATCAGTCTATAGTTACATAAATTATTGAACAAATAAATGTACTAACAATAATTCTGTACAGAAGACTTCTAATGTATGTGGATGCGGCCCTTAAGGAGGTGGAACTTAATTCTCCTCCCCTCAACTGTAAACTGTGCAAAGTAATTTGTTTGCAAAAAGGATGTGGGGGTATGAAGGGACAGTTAACTTTACAGTGGAGAGAACTGACAGTTCTTAGCTAAGTGATCAAGGTGTGAATCAATAGTAACATGTTGGTTCCCTGTACTCATGATACTACCTAGAGATACTAGCATTTTCCCTCTCCTGGTCTTCCCCAAATTCCATAACCTCAGTTGAATTTGGGCTGGAGTGATAGCACAGCGGGTAGGGCGTTTGCCTTGCACGCAGCCAACATGGCCGACCCGAGTTCGATTCCTCCGCCCCTCTCGGAGAGCCCGACAAGCTACCGAGAGTATCTCGCCTGCACAGCAAAGCCTGGCAAGCTACCCGTGATGTATTCGATACGCCAAACACAGTAACAACAAGTCTCACGATGGAGACGTTACTAGGCCCGCTCGAGCAAATCGATGAACAACGGGAAGACAGTGACTGTGACCAGTTGAATTTGAAGAGAAAGTATCAGCCAAAACGGAATTGAAAAACACCCTTTAACCAGGGGCTGGAGCAGTAGTACAGCAGGTAGGCGCCTGCCTTACATGTAGCTGGCCTGGGTTTGATTCCAGGTACCACATATGGTTCCCATGATCATCATTAGGAGTAATCAATGGTTACAAAGTCAGGGGTAAGTCCTGAGCACAGCTGGATGTAGTCCCAAAACAAAAAACAAATAAAACATTTAACCAGTAGTCCTTAAAAACTGTCAAGGTCATCCGAAAAAATAAATAAGAGCTGAAAGATTATTCAAACTGAGTGTATGCTTTTCATTGAGACCTAAATTCAACTACAGAGCAGCACTGGGAGTGAGCCCCAGCACAGAACCAGGAGTAGCTCTTGAGCACCAATTTTAGCATGGCCCTAAAATCTAACTGAAAAAAAAAAAAAGAGGAAAGTCTGAGAAACTGTCATGCTGAGATAAAACAACTACTGTAATGCGGGACCCCCAGTCAGAAGAAGGAGAGTATTGAAAAAGTAGTGAAATCTGCATGAAAATTAGAGTTCAGTTAAAAGTAATTATCAGTGTTGTTGGTGCCTTAGTTGTGACTATGGTAATATGCTATATTAGTAATGAAGGAAACTGGGTATTGGATATGTGTGCAGTATATTGTGATTTTATAGTTTCTTTGTAAATTTGGAAAAATAAGACTTTAAGAGTGTTATGGATTAGGAAAGGTGGTTTAAGAGAATATTTTAAGTAGAAGTTCAGAGAAATTGATATGTAGGGGAAAATTTGAGAGAGAGAGAAATGATAGTTTTTTTTTGCTTTTTGGGTCATACCCGGCAATGCTCGGGTTACTCCTGACTTTTTCACTCAGGAATCACTCCTGGCAGTGCGCTCAGGGGACCATAGGGGATGCTGGGAATCGAATCAGAGTCGACCATGTAAAAGGCAAAAGCCCTACCTGCTCTGCTATCACTACAGCCCCGAATGATAGTATTTTTTAAAATGATGCAGCACATAAATGCTTCCACAAGCTATTTTATGAAATTGCTTGTTGCCTTTTTCTATAACATCATCTGTCTCATATACATTATAATTATGTAATGTGTTAGATTATTTTTCACATAAATTAATGTAATTCATGCTGAATAGAACCCAAGGATTCATTTGTCTAGTCTCATGCCTCATAGACTGTTGTCCTAAGTAGTAATTACGGAAGAAATGAAGTAATGAAGTACTAACTATAGAACTCTCACCTGACTCAGTGATTCTACTTCTTGGCATCCATTCACAAAATACAAAAAGATTAATACAAAAAGATATATATGTTCATTGCAGTGGTTACTAGCCAGGAAATGGAAACAACCCAAATGCCCAACAACAGATGAATAGAGGAGGAGGCATTGTGTATACAAAAACATTGGTATGCTATGCAACTGTAAGAAAAGATGACAGCATGCAGTTCACTCTAACTTGGATGGAACTAGCCAGAGGGTATCATTTTCAGCATAGTGAATTAGGAGGAGAAAACAAAAGCCAGATATCACTCATTTGTGACATAGAGAACAAAATAAGTTGGTTGTTACAAGACAAGATTTCCATTGTAATTATCAGTCTCTCTGAGTGAGAGTCAGCCTTAATATAAGGGAGATCTTAAGAGTGGGAAGCACTTAGTAAGCTTTTATGAAATGAGTTAAATAAAATTTACATGTTTTCTACATCTGGTCTTTTGTTAAGAGATCTATCTAAATATTCCAATTCATATTGTCAGAATGCACACTTATTCCTGTTTCTGAAATTCTACTTTAAACAGAATCTCAGTCAAATCACTCTAATCAGTCTGATAGTGGAGTGTCTGACACCCAGCCAGCAGCACACGTCCGTTCCCAGAGCATTGTGAGTTCCATATTCTCTGAAGCCTGGAAGCGAGGGACTCAGCTGGAAGAGTCCAGCAAGGTAAGAGTGTTCTTTTACATAGAAAAATCTGTGATATCCCATAGGCATAGTTTGTTATCTTTCTCCCACTTTATTCGAAGTCTTTCTTGGCCCTATTTCAGCGGGTAGGGCGTTCGCCTTACAAGCGGCCAACATGGCCGACCCGAGTCGATTCCTCCGCCCCTCTCGGAGAGCCCGGCAAGCTACCGAGAGTATTCGATATGCCAGACACAGTAACAACAAAGTCTCCAATGGAGACGTTACTGGGCCCGCTCGAGCAAATCGACGATCAACGGGAGGGCCTTTACCTTTACCCTTTTACCTTACTTTTGTGGAATAGTTCCACTCAGAAACAAATGTTTGGTTTTAAAACAAACAAAAAACAGTTGATTTGAGATCTCTGAAAAATAGCTGGGGGTTTCTCCTTTATTGATGGCTCACAGTTTTAAGAGAGCTGTTTCCCTCCTTTTTACCTTTAATCAATTTGAATGGAGCAAAACCGTAAGACCAGTGCTTTAAATTTGTTTCAGAGAAGTTGCTAATGATCGATGGATTTGTTTTACCCATTTATTCCTTTTTTTGTGTGCATGTGTGCTTTTGGTATATTTGTGCATTGGGTTTCCTCAGATTACAGTTTAGGTGAAAGACTAAAGTCTGATCAATTCTCCTAAAATTTGGGATCATGGCAGTCTGAAGCAAAAGTACAGTGGATAGGGCATTTGCATTGTTTTCTAAATAACATCTGGTCTTGTGCCCAACCCAGGTTCAATCTCCAGAATGCCATATCGTCCCCCAAAATCATCAAGAGTGGTCCCTGAGCATAGCCAGGTGTGATCCTCCAAAAAATATTACAACAGAAAACTTTAATTTTTGAGCCCTGCATATTAGCTTGTTCAGAAACCCTGAAGGACAAATGTAATTACTCCAAGGCTATTTTTAAAAAGTTCTTTAGCACAGTTGAAAGAAGCCGTATCAAATTTATTTTTAAATTTTGTGGTAAAGTGTGTATCTAGTTGTATTCACCTCAGTGGCAGAAGCTCATACATGGTTATCATTTTACTTTTACCTAAGAATCATTTTGATCTTCTTTTGTTCTTAGTTTATTTATAGTGGTACATTTACCATGACTATTTCCTTCAACTTACTCTTTTCTTTGCAATATGTGATCATTTTTAACTGGTCCTTAGTGTAATGAAGGAGGCATTTATATTAATAGGCTAGTATAGGGGTAGAGCACTTTCTCCTAGAAACACATATTTGAGAATTGGTCCTAATGATATAAATTCTGAAACCATCAACAATTTAGCAATTATAAGAAGCTCAGATTTTTCAGAATTCTTTTACCTTTCTCTCAATCAGTAGCCATGTCTCGTGCTAATAACTTGTATGTAAATATTTTGTCACGGAGCAGGTTTACACAGTTTACACAGATCCCTAAAGTCCACCTTATTAAGTTTTCGGTGATGTCATCTATATGAAGAACTTCCCCATTATGGGAAAAAAAACTAGAGCAAGGAAAGCAAAGATCTTTGCTTTGTGATGAAGTAGTGTGTGTGTCATTGTGGTTTCAGAAAGAGTTTGAACCTGCCACAAGTGATGATGTGTTTGAGTCTTGATACCCCGTGTGTTTCTTTTGTTATCTCAGTCTCAGGTGCCAAATGAGAAGGCCAACACAGCTAAGGTCTACACCCCTGCAGCAGCCAACACAGGGTCAAGTTAAGGTCGGGGGCTGTTCTTTGGAAACACATTAACCTGGGTGACTCCTATAACCAAATCTTGCAGACTAATGCTTTTACTTTGATGTGCAACTTTTAAAGAAACATGTGAGTGTCCTGATGGGCATTAGAATTTAGCCCTGTAATGAGTCTTCTAGCCTACTAACCTAAACGTTTTCTGTGCCAATTACATGTCATTCATAATTGGAATGAGACAAATGGTTTATCTTGGATCTTCAGTTTGTTCAGACCCTTGAAGATGCACTGGGTTATTAAACCAATGGTCATTTCTTTGCTCTTCCAAAATAGTCAAACCACACTCATGCATGCGTAGCTCCATGAAATAAATGACCAGACGTAAATGCAGTCATTGGAGCTATGCCTTGAGGTGCCCAGACAGGCTGGTCAGCGGTTTGTTTTCAAAGTCTAGCTCTTATTTCTTAATATATTTCCTTCACTGGAGTCTTCTTCCAAAGTTTCCTCTCATTTCCTTCTGGCTTTTTTTTTTCCTGTGTGGTATTTTTCTGATCTTTGGCTGTAATGTCTATTTATAGATTTTCTAGTAAAACAAATGTGAGGAACTCCCTCCCCCCCCCCCTTACCTGCACTGTGAACGTCTGTGCATGTTGGATGCAAATGTCTCACTTGAACACGTGTGTGTCAAGCTCATTCATTGCTGTGGGACTGTGCACGCCTGCTAAACGTTTATATCCTACATGCCAGCTTCCTAGCACCAAAAAGCCACCTCCTCCAGGACTCGGACACCTAGTTAGGCATCTGCTTGAAAGTGGATGCACACCCGGGCGGTGAACAGGGCTGTCTCCCCTTGCCAGAGTCCAGGTGAGCCCAGAGCCCAGAGGCCCTCCCCCGCCCCCGCCCCACCCCGCCCCTTGTACCCTCTCACCAGCCACGTGGCTTCCGTAGCAGAGGAAAAGCCCCTATGCAGTCTGGCCATTTGAGAACGCTGTTGACAACTTTTCTTTGTCCTTTTGTCCTAGGGTCATATTTTAGCCTTCCTGACATTGTCCATCTTTCTGATCACATCCTTTCGTGCATGACTCTTTCAGATCCCGTGCTTTTTAGTTGTAAGCAGTCAAAGCTTTCCTCTAACTCGTGTTTTTTTTTCCTCTCTCTCTGCCCCCCCCCCTTTGTAGGCCAGGATGGAGTCAATGAATCGACCATACACTTCACTTATGCCCCCTCTATCCCCACAACCTAAGCTAGCCACCCCCTACACTGCCTCCCAGCCCTCCCCGCCTCTCCCGCCCCCGCCCCCGCCGCCCCCTCCCCCACCCCCACCGCCACCGCCACCGCCCCCTCTGCCCAGCCAGTCTGCGCCCTCTGCTGGCTCGGCGGCCACCATGTTCGTCAAGTACAGCACCATCACCCGGCTGCAGAATGCGCAGCACTCCGGGCCCCTTTTTAAGCCTCCACCATCCTTAGGGATGCAGCCGCAGTCCGTGGCCTCCCAGTCAGGAAAGCCCCAGATCCTGGTGCCCCCCAGCGGAGTTGTTCCCCCACCCCCTCCGCCACCTCCACCGCCGACCCCGGGCTCTGCGATGGCACAGCTGAAACCAGCACCTTGCACCCCATCCCTCCCGCAGTTCAACCCTCCGCCTCCTCCTCTGAAGATTCATCACGTTCACCACATGCCGCAAGCGGCGCCCCCGACACCCCCACCACCTCCTCCCGTCGTCGCGCCCCTCCCCCCGCAGGCCCCCCCCAAGCCCGCGGTGACCGTCCCCACATCAGCCAGCACCAAGACGGTGCCACCTGTTGCTACACAAGCAGTGCCACCCACACCCACCCCTCCCGCGCCGCCAGCCAAAAAGCAGCCCGCGTTTCCGGTCCCTCACGTCCCGCCCTCCTCCCCTGCGCTGCCCAGCCCAGGGCCCCCACCCACCCTACCGAAGCAGCAGAGCTTCAGTGTGAAGCCGCCGCCCTCCCCGCTGTCCCCGGTGCCCTCGGTGGTGAAGCAGCTCGCCAGCCAGTTTCCGCCCCCGCCAAGCGCTCCTCCCCTGGAGTCGCAACCTTTGAAGCCCTTAGCAGCAAACGTGACCCCACAGTCCCCTCCCGCTGTGAAGGCCAAACCCAAGTGGCAGCCCAGTTCCATTCCTGCCCCGTCCCCGGACTTCCCGCCGCCTCCTCCCGAGAGCAGCTTAGTGTTTCCTCCCCCTCCACCGCCAGCACCTGTCCCCACCCCTGTCCCCACCCCGCCGCCACCGCCACCGCCACCGGCCACCCCCACAGCTGCTCCAAGCCCGGACAAGAGCGGATCGCCAGGCAAAAAGACAGGGAAGACGTCCAGCCCCGGCGGGAAGAAGCCTCCCCCAACTCCACAGCGCAACTCCAGCATGAAGTCCAGCAACTGTGCCGAGCACCCTGAGCCCAAGAGACCCTCAGTAGACAGTCTAGTCAGCAAGTTTGCATCGCCAGCCGAACCCTCTGGGTCTCCCAGCAAGGAGACCCTGCCACCGCCCGCAGCACCCCCCAAGCCTGGGAAACTGAATCTTTCTGGGGTTAACTTTCCTGGAGTTCTCCAACAAGGGTGTGTGCCAGCAAAAGCATCTGTTTTGAGTGGGCGTGGCAAGGATTCCGTGGTTGAATTCCCTTCTCCACCATCGGATTCCGACTTTCCACCCCCTCCACCTGAAATAGAGCTTCCTATGCCTCCTGTGGAGATTCCTGCTGTGTTCGCAGGAAGCACCTCACCGAAGGTGGCAGTAGTCAATCCCCAGCCACAACAGTGGTCCAAAACGTCAGTGAAGAAGGCCCCTCCACCCACCCGACCCAAGCGGAATGATAGCACCCGCCTCACTCAGGCAGAGATCTCTGAGCAGCCCGCCATGGCCACAGTTGCGCCACAAGTGCCCACCTCACCCAAATCCAGCCTTAGTGTCCAGCCTGGATTCCTGGCTGACCTCAACCGGACACTGCAGCGGAAGTCCATCACTCGTCATGGCTCGCTCTCTTCCTCACGTATGTCCAGAGCAGAACCCACAGCCACCATGGATGATATGGCACTGCCACCACCACCCCCTGAACTGCTTTCTGATCAACAGAAAGCTGGTTTGGGAGGCAGTCATATATCGGGCTATGCAACATTGCGGAGAGGACCCCCTCCAGCTCCCCCCAAAAGAGACCAGAACACTAAGCTCTCAAGAGACTGGTAGCTACCCTGGGACTCTCATTTTTATGGTATCTGTAATTGGTTCTACAATCAGCTCACCTGATCACTGATGAACTCAGGTGTTCAGAGGCTCCTGGTGTGATGATGTTATTCAGGTAGTGTCCAGCTGTATGTGTATGTGTGTGTGGACACACATAGCTATAGTCTGTGTATATATATATATATGTATACATATATGTGTGTATATGTGTATATATATATAGCTGATTCTATTTATTCCATTTCTTTCCTGGTCTGAAAATGGGTTTTGTGTATTTTGGGTGGAAGAGGCATGGAAGGGAATGTAAGTCCTGTCCCTTACAATTTCTGTTATTATGTGGATTGGAGCAAAAGTTTCTAAGTAATTTAGATGGTATTTTATACATGTGTGTCCATGTGCAGCCTATCTGTGCATGTTGTGTATTATATATTAAGGAATAGATGTATAATGTGCTGTTTCTCAGTTTGAGAAGACAACCAGAATCTTTGATATATCAATGGGCCTTTGTTGTTCTTTTCCCCCCTCACAGCTGGCTTAAGTTTGAGCTGCTTGACTGACAATTACTATACATAAAGGGGCACTTTAAAATCAGGAAAAAAAATCAGCTTCATAGAACGGGTAAATGGTGGTGTGTGAGATTTTCATGGACACTCTTGCTGTATGTGACTATATTCAGAGTAAATACTTGGTGTAACCCAACAGTTCTCTAGTTGCAGTACTGCTCACTGATCCTACCGAATCTAGGATGTGTTCGCCACAGGTAAGCTCTTGGCCTACAATCCATGGATGTTTCAGTGCTATAATCCTGGATAGTTTTTATTCTGCCAGAATCTTTTTCATGAGCTTTGTGAAGCTTAATCAAGCTCGGTTTCAAATTGTTGATTGTGAAAGAATACCCAATACAGTATCCCTGGAATGGTCCGTCCCAGTATGTCTTCAGGTTACCAGTTATCTTCTTACAGTGTGTGCTTAGGTAGATATTGAAGTTATGTATTGTAGACAGTTAATGTATAAAATACACACATCCTTTGTCTAATATGGTACATCATTACAAAAAAACACTTTCTGAAATGTGTCTCTGTGTATCACTACAAGTTTGGGCAACTGAAAAACAAAGTGACAGTTGGGAAGTTGACTCCATTAGGTTTTATTTTCCTGTGTGTCTATGGACAAAATGTGTAATACAGATTGAATATGAGACAGGACTGTCAGGCAGGGAAAGGAAGTAAATGAGGTTTTTGACAATTCATCCGTAGCCAACTGCTGCAGTACACTAGGATCCTAGCTTTTTGTTAAAGAGATCTGTCCAGGTTAGCAGTTCTGTTGAAATAGTGTAATTACATATTATGCATGTGCAATTTGGTGTGACATGGACTCGTTGCTCAGATGCAAACGTGTAATTTTATATGCCTCATTATACTTATATATGCTCCCCCCTTGGTAGAGAAATGTACTGTCTCATCAGTTTATGATGTTAAACTAATCATTAGGAATACAAGGCTACCTTAGAGCTGCTCAGGGGAATAAAAGCTAGTCACCCCAGCAATGATAAATGAGCACATCGTATAATGAACATGTATGCCTGTTGTAAGGATTACCATTACAAACTGTAAAAATATTTTGACAATATCTCATAAAGGAAAGGTGATGACAATATAGTGGGGCAGAGATGATAATTCAAGAATAAGTGAAAGTGGTACCATATATATGTGTATATATATATATATACACACACATATATACACACATATATACACACACACACACCAGATAAGCCACTCCATGAAAGTATTTCTTCATAGAGAGTAAACACTACCTTTCCACTGCTGCATCTCCAGGATATTGCTGAATATAATGTGCTCATGGAACACATAAGATTGTATACCTGGGCCAGGGACATAGCTCAGAAGTAGAGGATTTACCTTGCATGGATGAGGCCCTGAGTATAATTCCCAGTATTGGGGGCGGTGGGGAGGAGGGAGCCTTCCTTCTTTAAAAGATAAACTTTTTAGGTATTTTTATTGTTCACAAACTCCTGTGTGCTTGATATCATGTTTATGAAGTGACCTTTAACACTCTTTCATTTAAGCATGCACAGCAACTTGGATAACTGTTATGATACAGATTGCCAAACTCCACTGTGATTATGAGTAAAGTAATTTCCTGTAATCTTCCTGCAGCTGTATATTCAAAGAATCACTCTTATTTGGAAAATTAGGTGTGGTAAAGAGTTTCTAAAAAAAATCAATTCATAATTCATCACTATGTTGTTTTGGGGCGGTAGGGGTTGGTAGGGGTTTTTTTTTGTATAATTTACATGAAGGGCAACTTCAGCTTTCCTGGAGGGAAAATGTGTACCCTAAATCTTGCATCATGCTTGATTTGAATCCTTAAGATCGAGTCTTCTGTTTTTCAGAATGTAAGATTTCCTGAGACTCCTTGCTTACATGTCAGTTCTGATGACAGCCATTCTTAAACTCCTAGAGTAGCATTTCCCTTCTAGGAATAGACTAGGGGCACCAAGAAAAGAACAGGACCAGAGGAGGAAATGCCCCTATCCAGTGGCTCCTCTGACAACAGTTTTCCAAAGATGGAATGGCGGTTATTTTTGTTCTGTGTGAAACAAGTTAATACCCCCCCCCAAAAAAAAAATGTAACTTAAGAGTGTTTATTCCCTAATGGTTTTTTAATTCGAATTTTTGTTGGGTTATAGTTATGTCTGTTGTTTTTATTTATTATTTTTATTTTCAGGCTTTTTGTAACTTTTTTTTCCCTGATGTATTCATGGAAAACACTTGTTGCCAGGTGACACTAGTACTGTGCCTTCTCCCACTGCCTCTGCTCTAACCCTACATGGCTGCTTCTGGTCATAAGATTACAGCTGTACTGAAAAACAAGATGAATTCATCCTGCGCTTGAAACAGGTGCCATTGAAGGCTAGTGCCAGCTTAATTATGACACCCTAATTTTTGGCACCAACTTCGAAGCAGAACCTGTTCTGTTAATAATAAACATTTGGTGTTGAATTCATAGGTAAATTAGACTGTTCTTTACTGAAGTTTTATCAGGTTCAGTTTTATTGCTCAAATAAGGAAAAAAAAATTTCCTTAGCTGCTCTAATCTAATCTCACTTGGGAAAAATATTCTAAGGTTTTTACAATTACCACTTAATTGTAACTTCATTTTTTTTAATTTCTTTAAGATTGCTGACTAAAGTTACAGGAAATTTTCTTTACATAATTTAAAAAAACAAAAATAATATATTGTGTTTGTAATTCTCTAAAATTGAGGTGCTTTTGCCCATTGATGGCATATTCTGCAAAGGGCTGTGAACTGTCTTTAAAGTCCCCTCTGTATGTAAATTTACTTTACACTGAAAACAATGCCAAATTTAACAAAACTTGGTATGATTCATAATAATTCCAGGAGAGTGGCAACTCTGAAATCCAGGTAATAAGTAAAACGTGCATCCATAATCAGAGTTCCAAAAGCTGCTACTTTGGGAGAATGTAATTGCTATTACGCCTCTGTCAAGGATGTAAGGATTTAAGTTAGTCTGAAAAGAATGTAAGCTAATAGTTTGGGTTGGATTTGATTATCGAACTACCAATGAAAGAATTCTGTCAACAGTTTTTCTTCAGTTAAAGCAGTTTCATGTTATAAACACTACGTGATTTTAAACAACAACAACAAAAACTTTTCAAGTTTTATACTTCATTCCCAAATGTTTTCTTATACTTTCAGAGCTAACAGATTATAAGTGATAAACTCTCACAGATTTGATCAAGTTTAGACCAGTTAATAGGATGCTGAGATTATAGGTGTTATGTTCTTGTGTACTCTGAGTAATATATATAATTTGGATATATACAGTTGATGAGAATGTCTTCTAAAATCACTTTAGGCTGTAAGTCATCTATTGGTACTTTATGAATTTTGTCTTATATACTTATATCACTTATATAAATTATCTTTGATCCTGTGAGAACATAGGACCACTCACAAAGTTGCTATTTTTGACCCAGAGCGCAAATAGATTAAAATTAAATATCCCCATTATCTTTTAAGATTTTCCTTTAAGATTAAGTCGAACATTTCTACACTAAACATCAAACTGATAAGCACTCAGTTTCTCAATTGTGCCCTTAGAAGGTCTATGTGTAAAAGAAATCTGAAATTCAACCTGTTAAATAAAAACGAAATAATATACTTGATGAACACTTGAAGGAAAAACTTTCCAACTGGTTTGTTTTTTACTTGTTTAAATTATAAACCATTGAGAAGAGGAAGTACTATCAACTGTAATCCCCAGTGCCTTGAACTCCTTTGGAGGAATAGCATTTAAAAATCCAACAGGCAAACGTTGAGGTGCTAATAATTATTTCTAGTTTGGACAGAAAAAGGAAAAATGTCTTACAAGAGATGGTTTCATCTGCTTGGAGCCTGGTCACTTTCTACCAAAGAAATTAGAGAAGTGAGTCAAGTCCGGGTGATGGTGTCTACTACATATTTAAAGTGGCTCGGTTGAGAAGCGGGTACATTGACCAGGGATGGTGTTCATGCCAAGTTTGTGATGGTGGAAGCCTCAGCCTCTTAGGCAGAACATGCTTTTGCAGCACTTAACAAAAAAGATCTCTGCATTTTGGGAATTGTCCATTGTTTGTTAAATTAATTGTAACTAAATACCAAATACTGCCATTTTCCATGACTCCCACCTGTATTTTTTTTTCCTTGTAAATAATCCCTACTAGAAAGTAACCATTAACTGGAATGTTTCAAATGACTTTAATTTTATTATGAGCCACTACTGAATTCATTTTTTAGAAATGTACATTTAAAGTAAACATCAGAACCAGGGATGTGGCTCACTGGTAGAGCACATGCCTTGCATGTGTAAGGTTCTGGGTGTGATCCCCAGCACCTTAAAAAAATTCACTTCTTGTGCTAAATGTTGTAAAAACATTGTTTACTGTTTTAAAGAAAAATTGCACATTTAAATGGGATTGCTCCCTCTCATCCCATTTCTTAAATAAATGGGGTCAAGGCTCACACTGACATATAGACTGTGGGAGCTTTGAGTAAGTAAAATAGATACAGTGTAGAATATACTTTTTTAAAGCATGAATAAGGCAAAAGGAACTATATCATAAAGTACCTGATAGAGGACATTATTCAGATGATTATGCACAGTTCAGTAAAGATGAAGTCAAAAACCTTCTTTTAGCTCTGTTGATATTTCTTCTGCTTAAATGTATGCTCTCATTTCATTATGTGCCTTGCTCCCTGATTGTGCAAACCTTACATAGATATATATATATATATAAGTATATGATATGAGAGAGATATATTCAGTACTACTGACGATGCTTTGGTTCTGCTGCTGGATTAAGTTATTTTCTAAGTTACTCTTGCCAGTTACTGTCAGTAAACTGTTGTAATAGCTTTAGGACAGTAGTCACAGTCAAGCGTAAATTTGTTTTCAGTTACATGTTTTCATTATGTCAGCTTACACAATCCTTAATAAAAATACATAGATTTCATTTAAACATGGGGACTTTACGTGACTGTTTGTGGGTCGGCACCATTAGAATTTGTTTTGCTATTTGTTTGATGCCCTCAAAGTAAGCTATCCAAGAAAAAAATTAATTGGCTGTGTTCAGCTAGTCGTTTCAAGATTGATAAACTATTCCAGAGTAGTTTACAACAGATTAGTTTCAGCTGTTAAGTATATCAGCAATTTAAAAATAAGTGCTTAAGATTATTGGATGGGAGCTGGAGCAATAGCACAGCAAGTAGGGCATTTGCCTTGCACGCAGCTGACCCAGGTTCGATTCCCAGCATCCCATATGGTACCCTGAGCACCGCCAGGAGTGATTCTTGAGTGCAGAGCCAGGAGTAACCCCTGCATCGCCTGGTGTGATCCAAAAAGAAAAAAGATTATTGGATGGCAGGGGTTCCCTTAAGGTTTGTTGTTTTGTTTTTTAAGGACAATTTGATACCAAAAGGTATCAAATTATTTTTAAGTCATATTTAATCCATAATTAAATATGCATGTGTATACTAATTTCTATTTACAGATTACTCGTTTGCATATGTGAGGTTTTGAAAAAAAATAACCTTTTTTCAGTCACGCATGCTTGTGGAGACTGCCTCGTTTTTTTTTGCTTCAGAGGAAGAAGTGTACAGTGAATACAGGCTGCCCAGACTTTTTTATCCCTTTCTGATAAATTATAAAACTCCTTCTCTCAGAAAGACAAATTAGCTCTGTATTTCTTGATAACATCCCCCAAATATAAAGGTTCGGAGTAAAAAGATGACTGGGAATTTGGAACTTAGAAAGTTAAACTGAACATTACTCTTATCACAAAAACTCTGACATCATTTCTCCCAAACAGATCACAAAATCCTTATAACTGGGCTTGCAAACAAAGGGTTGGTATCCTTTTCATTATTCTTGTTTTGCTTTAATTACACCTCTGACAATCTGGTATTTAGTAAATACCCATCCTTCAATTTTTTTTTATATTACCTATTTATATATGTAATTTTTTAAGTTTTTTATATTACAAGAATTACCCCTCTGGAAGAGCCCGGCAAGCTACCGAGAGTATCCCGCCCGCACAGCAAAGCCTGGCAAGCTACCCATGACGTGTTCGATATGCCAAACACAGTAACAAGAAGTCTCACAATGGAGACATTACTGGGCCCACTCGAGCAAATAAGATGAACAACAGGAGGACAGTGACAGTAACCTGTGGATAAGAGAAAGCACTCACCAGGCCAGAGCACATACTTTGCAAACAGGAGACACCAGGATTCAGGCCCCCAGCACTGCCAGGTGTGACCAAAAAAAAAAAAAAATTATAATCGCCACAGAAATAAAATAATCCTACACTTAACATCTTAGAAAATGCTATCATTTGTAGATAAATTATTCACAAGACACTTCCACAGAATTTTGTGAAGTTTTATTTAGGTCAAGTTCTTAGTACACTGCAACAATTCCAAATACAATTTCAAAATTAAAATTAGAAAGTGGATGCTCCCCCATTCATCTGGAGGTGGTTTAATGGCACACACAAGTAACATTACTGGCAATGAACTGCTCCCTCAAGTTTTCTGAATGGTTTTTATTCAACTTGTAGCACTAACCCTCCCTCTTTCGGGAGCTGAAAGTACAACTGGCCAGATCACAAATTGTTTTATTATTTTTTTTGTAAACCATTTTGTTAAGAAAAAAGATGCATGGACACAAAACATGATAAAAACTGCTTTTCCATAGAATTCAGAAGTTGCAAAAAACATTTCCATTATAATGTGAGAAAATAAGCTTTTTGTTTTTTTGTTTTCTTTTTTTACAAAAAAACCAAGATATTTAGCAAGGATCATTTATACACAGCTAGGCCCTGTCATTTCATTTGTCAATTAATTTTTTTATAAGAATGAGATTCTTAAGAAATAGGAAAAAAGATCAGCATAAATGAAAAACTTAATGAATGAGCACAATGATGCTTCTGTTTAAGACCTGTTTTATAAGGCTCTCTCAAATAAGGCTGATGCTGTGCTTCTACCAGTGCTGAAAGAATATCACATGTTTTTGCTACATACACCTTATGGAAAATACCATCTGTATTGGTTGTGGGTTTAGAATGGTTTAAATTTTTTTGTTTTCACTAAGGTTGCACTTAGTAGACTCCTTTTAAGTCTGAATACTCTTGTACGTATCAGAATATGGCACCTCTTTTCAAGTATCCTCAAGACATCAAATAGAACTCTTTATTCACATAGCACATTCAATTAAGACAGCTGTAGAAAGGGTATACAGTGTGGTGCTCAGTCAGAACACCACTATTAAGTAGCTGCTATCTGAAACAAAAGCCATCTTTTACCAGTGAAATGAGATTGAAGTAAAACACTTTTGTTTTCTTTTGGGCCTACATCCAGTGGTGCTCATGTGGTGCCAGGTATTGAACCAGTCCTACATATGCTCCATCAACTGAGCTATCTCCCTGGCCCTGAACTAAAATTTCTAAAAAATGCCTTCTAGCTTTAAAATTCTAGTAAATCAAGTAAGGAAATCATTTCACACAATCAGGTATTCCTGGCTAAAGAAACTCAGAATTAAATAAATGGGAACTGCTTCAGGTCCCCATCAAACCCTCTTTGATCAAAGGGAACAGGGTGGACTTCAGAACATGCCATGCTCTCTCCACCGAGAAAGAAATGGTAATAAATAACAGCTTCTAATGCACAAAGGTCACCTGCTAAAGGAAAATGAACACTAAAAGGTCAAGTGAGCTTATCTTTTTGATGCGCTCAAACAGAAAAACCAACCCCCCGTCTTTTGAGGGGGAGGGGCAGCAGCACAGTTTGGGCCACACCTGGGATTGCTCAAGGGTAATTCCTGGCTCTGGGCTCAGTGTGACTCCTTGTGGTATTCGGAGCAGCGTATGCAGTGCCAGGGATTTGAACCTGCATCAGCTACATGCAAGGTAAGTGCCTTACCCCTGCACTATCTATCCAGCCCAGAAAAAAATGAATCAAAATAAGAACTGCTATGGGGCAACCTACACTAAAAACATCTCTTAAAAATGCACTTAAAAAGTCTAATTCAGTAATAGTAGCAAGAGGGGGAAAGAAGGGTAAGGATGAAAATATCTTACCTAATACAGCAAACAGCAGGCCCTTGCCAGCCCTCAGGTTGAAAAGCGGGTGCCATTGAGGGAGAGAGAAAGCAAGTAGCCAAAAGATGGGAAATACTGGAAAAGAGCGCTCTTAAAAATTCATGTTTATTCCAAACAGGCTGAATTCCTTGGCTAGAATTTGACACTTTTTTTTCCCTTTTTACTGCCTTGGCCATAGGTCAATGATGTTTTAATTCAAGTCCCCATAGCCTTCCCAGTTATAATAACAAAAACCTCCCAAATCACACTTTTGTCAAAAGTCAAAAGGGACTGGACACAAGTCAAAAAAAACCCCTAAACACTTGGGGGAAAAAAAATCTTCTTGCCCATTACATTCTCTATATCCAATAAAATGGTTGCTTACTAGTCAGCAGATTTTGACTTTCTTTGCCATAATATTATGTAGCATGTAAGATTTCTGCATTCTTTTGGAATTTCTACTTCCAGCCACATTTAGTATATAAAAATGGGGGAAACTTACAATAAAACATGAAAATACTACCCTCACAGACTATTAATAGCATGCAATCTATAAAATATTACATACATTAAAAGTCTCCAATTACTATAGGCCTGGCCCATCATTATTACATAGTATCCTTCCAAGACATTATACAGAATTCAAAACTGTACAAAAATGTAAAATATGCAGAAAACCCATTAGGCATTTTTGTAACAAATTATGCACACCCAAATTGGCTGACTCTGGGTTCCCCCTTGCTGCAGTTGGCCTTCACCAGTGTCTTCTGAATTCCCCCATCCCACAGGGGTCCAACAAGCTGACTGCTACCTACATTTTGAAGTTGTCTTCTCTGTCAGGAGGGTGAGCTGTGGGAATTATGTTGGATTTCCAACTATACCTTATTAATCCATTAAGTTTTTTTCAATGAAACAAAATATCAGAATACCTTACTTCAAAACATTTTCCCTATACTAAGGAAAACTGAAACTATCCAAGTAAGGTCTAGGCTCAGAACATCCAGGGTCATTACTCTGAAGGAAAACAGTAATGCATGAGTTCCAGATGACCTAACAAAAGCAGTAGAACATGTACTGAACAAGTGGGTGAAATCTAAACTAAAAAGTGTTGAAATCTAAAAAGTAAAACAACTTGCAATGTGTATGAAAAATAACCAAAAATGTAACTTTATAACAATAACAAAAATCCTGATAAAGAAACTCTGTATCTGGGGTCCACTCAATGGTGAAGTTTTTGTGCTCTGCTAACAGTCACAAGTGAGTGGTAACATCTTCCTGTACATCTGAGTCCCTCAGACACTACTAGTTCTTTTCTCAATCAAGTTCCTCTTACTGCACCATCATGTTCATGAGCCATATTTGAAAAATCTGCAATTACAGCCTCTCCTGGTTGGTGGGGAGGGGAGTTGGGCCAGACCAAGTACCTTGAAGTGATATTCAAACCAGGATCTACTGCATGCAAGAAAGTGCCTTAACCCCTGCACTACCACTCCAGCCCTTTTTCTCCCCCAGTAGATTGGGACCTGAAGGACCATAAGTTGGATCCTCACTGCAGTATCACCTGCTGACCCTTCTGGAATGTAATATTATGCTTACTACTGAGATATATTAAAGCAAATTTTCCTAACAAACTCCACTGAAACTATAATGCACAGATAGAAAAATACTGTCATTTCCCTCAAAGTTTTATTTTTTTATATGATTAACTAAGTATTTGGCTTTATCCCACATGTTCCATTACCATTATTCTTTGGATAAGGTACAAATTTCTACCAAGAGCAGCTCCTTCAGAGACCAATCACACAAAATTAGAAGAATTCTGTTTCAGAATTGAGTAAACAATGCAGCAGCAGCTAACACTGGCCATTTAAATATTCAGAAAACACAGTAACAAGCCTCCTATTCCAAGTGACAATGAAAAGATGTATGTGAAATTTTCCCAAAAGAAGAATGTTTTAAAATGAAAAAAAGTAAATAACCTGACCTCCTCAGAACAGCACCTATGACAAGGGTTCAGGACACCAACTGACCTGTGGTAAATTTCTACAGCTCAGTCTCCTGGAACCTTAGGAACAGTCCTCTCTAGTTTCGCATGCCTGCTTAAGCAGATGAACTAGCCTACTGCTCTTCACACCTGGGCACGATGGCCACTAGTGGCAATGCAGATTCATGCAGCAGAGCACATTAAAAGTGATCACCCTCGCAATGTGTGGAAACTCACGTTTCATCAACCTCATACTACAAATTGAGAAACATGAAGGGATGCAAGTCAGTTCAGCATTAACTCGTGGTGCACTTAAGTGCTGAGAGAATGCAGGATTTACAGTGCTAAGAGGAAAGAAGCCATCTGAAACAATTCTAAAAATGGTTAGGTATAGTATTTAAGTACTGATTCCCTCCTCATACAAGTGGAAGAAATTGGGGTGAGGGTACACACTTGACCATGAGGTTATCCCTTAGCACAGGCACCGAAGAACATCCAATGCCACAGAGTCTGCAGGAGGAAAATTCCTAAGGATAAACAGTATTCCTGAGAAAGATCCCAGATATTTTTCTGAATTAGTCTTAACCTGATTTATTTTTACATAGTTATGCTGTGATAGCTCTGACATGTCCCAAAATGGTCACTTTATTTCAATCCAGACAGCTCAGCATAGTACGGATGATGGCAGCAAGATCCATTTATTTAAATTCAGCTTGCTTTTTTGTTTGTTTAATACTGGGGGATAAACAAAACTAAGTAGTTTTTATCACTTGTCCTTCATTCATTTCACTGGAGGGAAATCTCCAGGGCCTTTTGCCCTGGGAAAACTTGACTATTCTGTGAGGGAAACAACCCAGCTGAAAGCTTTACTCAGAATAATGCATGATGGATTCAACATAATTCCCAGGAAAGAGCCCAGTCACTCCATTCATAACTCCCTCATACCAACCATCATCATTCTTCTTAATGACATAAATAATGGCGCCTTCCTGAAATGACAGCTCATCTTCCTTGTCTTTTGTATAATCATAAATTGCCACAACTAGGAGAAAAAAACAAACAAGAAGTTAAAGAGAATAACATTCCAAGAAAGCACCAGATAAACAGCAATACTAAGTAAAGACCAAAAAACCTTTCATTACACCTTTGTCTAATGCAAACCGAATCATGCAACAAAACAAAAATGTCATTTCTAACATCTTATGCAATAGAATCTCCTATTATTGGAAGATGTTAGGTTGAAAAAAACAGCATGAGTGGTGAAAACATAACAGTTAATGTAACAACCTTCCTTAACCTATGAGAGGGGTTGGAGCTATAGTACAGTGGGTAGGACATTTTTCTTGCATGTAGTCAACCCACGTGCAAGAAAATTCAATCCCTGGCATCCCATATGGTCCTCTGATTACCATCAGGAGTGATCCCTGAGCAGAACCAGGTATGGCCCAACCCCACAACCAAAAGAGATACAAAACCTAAAATACAGATTTTTTTTTAACTGAACTTTCATTGAAGCATCATGTTGTGTAAAAACATCTCTCTCTAAACATTAAAATCATTCTAATGCAGTGAGCAAATAAGAAAATGAGACTGACCCCAAAAGAAGAAAATGAGATCAAAAGGACAGCAGAGTTATGACTCCTTTCTTACACAAATAGAGTGGTTGAATTCCTACAAGCTGTATGTGTGAATGCAAGGCATCTACTAGCTATATCCTTTCAAAACACATGCCATATTATGCCACCAATTTAATATGACCATAAGAGACCAAGTGTGTTAAAAAAAACCAAGCTCCTGCTCTCCTGTGATTTTCAATGCTTAACTTGGGAGCTTTCAATGATACCTGGAATTACCTCAGGTCCATATGTATTATATCTCCCTAAATAGTTGTTAAACTAACATACATATCTTACAGCTTACTCAAATACATCCGAAGGTACACCTTTTTATAAAATGATTCTCCTCTTTTTAAATTTCTTTCAAGAAATCTCCTAGGGCTGGAGAGATGAGTTCAGTGGGCTGAATGCACACTTTGCATTCAGGAGACCCCGTTTCAAGCCCCAGCAGAATATGTCCTCCAAGAGTGATCCCTCAGCAGAGCCAGATTAAGTCACATGAGTACCACTAGGTGTGTATCCTTCTCCCCCACCACCAAACTCTTTTTATAAAAAGATATCTCCATCTACGAGGGAGGTGGATCCAACAGGCTATGGTGGAATGTTTACTGGTATTTATATGATTTAGATGATGGGCATGGTATACTTTTTTTTTTTTTGCTTTTTGGGTCACATCTGGCGATTCACAGGGGTTACTCCTGGCTCATGCACTCAGGAATTACTCCTGGTGGTGCTCAGGGGACCATATGGGATGCTGGGAATCGAACCCGGGTCAGCCGTGTGCAAGGCAAACACCCTACCCGCCATGTTATCGCTCCAGCCCCATTGATATAAATTTTAAGGAATTTAAATATGTACCCATAATATTCAGTTTTTTAAACTAATGTTACCTTAGACTGAAAGAAAAATTTTTATATTGAAAACTTTCCATCTGGTGCCAGGAATGTGGTTCAAGTGGTAAAGCGCAGGCCTTTCATGTGTGTCTGAGACCTTAGGTTTGATCCCAAGTATCCTGGGTTCCAGAGCAAATACAGGTGTGCACCCCCAACATACACACAAAATAAATACTATCAACATATTATTCAGAAAAAGCATGGTAGTTTCTCATGTAACCATAATCCTCATGTAAGAAACACTCTGTAACAGAGACTTTTGAAATATAGTGCAACTTGCCCATCTCTGGCCTGCTTTCTTTATTGAGTATGTGGGGGTGGAAGGCGGGGGGGGGCGGGGGGAGAGGATTGATTTGGGAGCCACACCTGGCTCTGCTCTGGACTTACTCTTGGCTTTGCACTCAGAGATTACTCCTGGCGTGGCTTGGCAAACCTTTTGGGGTACCAGGCATCAAACCCAGTCAGTTTTGTGCAAGGCAAACACTCCCTGCTATACTATCTCTCCACCCTGACTGGCCTGCTTTCTGAAATTCTGAGTATCTACCAATGCAGTGATCATTAGAAATGTCAAAAATACTTCAGGAGGGATCCAGGCAGAGTTTAATGCCAACTTCTCAAAATCCAATCAAACATTTAAACGCAAATATGATGAGACACAAGTTCATTGATTAAGAAAACATAAAACATTTAATTTTTCTATCCCATTTTCAGCATTTTTTTAAAAAGTTGACAATTGTCACTCTTATAAAACTGTACACCTACTGAGAAGTAATTCAGAGAAAAATAGTCCCAAGGTCTGTCAATTTACCTCCTAAAACTCTATTTAAAGCCCTCTTTTCCACCATCATGGTCACTGTCTGCCCTTGTGTCAGTGCAATAATCTTTAAACTGGTTACACGTATCACTGGGGCTGCTTAAAAATTTTAAGGTATGAGTAACTGAGGATTATGAGGGAGGACTGATAACTTCATACAGACTCTAGATTCTCAATTTTCACAAGTACTGCTGCTTCAAATTGACCTTTGAGATAAGTTTTTTTAAGTACCCAGTTGTACATAGTGGAATTTCATCTTTAGACAAGCATGAGTCATCAAAATCTTTATTTTCTATTTATCTTTGACCTTAGTTGTCTTTTTGAGGGGAAGAGAGGGAAGAATCAGGGTCTGGGCCACACCCAGTGACATTCAGATCAGTGTATAGGGGATAATGCTGTACCCAGGATTCTGGGCATCCAACAAGCAAAGTATGTGCTTCAGTCCCTTGAGTCATCACCTGGGCCCCTCTTTCTCCTATTTTAATGGAAGTATTATTGCACACTGTTTTTTAAAGTACAAAACATCTTTGAGTGTAAAAGGGAATAACACAGGCCTCATAATATAAAAATTCACAAAAGTTTATGACAACCAACTTAATGCCCCCAAACTCGAGATCCTAAAAATGATGAAGTCTTAGAAATTATACAAACTCCCAAGACTGAACCAAAAAAAACATAGAAGCTTGGCTAGAATAATCTCAAGTAAAGAAATTGAAACTAATTTAAAATCTCCCCAAGAACAAAAGTTCAGGTTCAGATGAATTCAGATCTACCAAAACTTCAAATAAGACATAGTGCCTCTACTCAAGATTTTCCAAAATATTGAGAAAAGAGAAATACTCATTAATAGTTTCTATGAAGCCAATATTACACTAATACAAAAACAGACAATACTAGGAAAATTGTAGACCAACATCTCTGATGAACGTCCATGAAAGATCCTCAATAAAATCCTAGCAAACCATATTCAGCGATTTATCAAAATCTTTTGGAGGGAACTCTGCAATAGTGCTTTACGGGACCATTCCTAGTGATACATGGCCTGGCAGTGCAGGTATGATGATTCACTGCTGCTCAAGTACAGTGATGGAATCATGTCCATCCTGGCAGTATTCAGCTCAAGATGCAATGCCAGGGACCAAACTTGGGACCGTGAGCATGCAAGACATGCTCCTTTTGAGCCATATTCCTTCCTAGCACAATATTTCATATTTTTGTTATTTCAAAAGAGAGTTTTAGAAATCCAATCTCTAATTGTTTGTTACTAGTAGACAGAAGTACTTAATTCTGTACATTGGGGCTAGAGCACTAGCACAACGGGTAGGGCATTTGCCTTGCAAGCAGTCAACATGGCCGACCAGAGTTCGATTCCCAGCATCCCATATGGTTCCCCGAGCACCTCCAGGAGTAATTCCTGAGTGCATGAGCCAGGAGTAACCACTGAGCAATGCCGGGTGTGACCCAAAAAGAAAAAAAAAAATTCTGTACATTGACTTTTGTAACTTGCACTTTTAATAACTCACATTTCAGTTCTACCAGATTCTGTGTAGTAAATTTCTTAAGCTTTTCTACATATAAGATCATACAATGAATACCATATATCATTTGTCCTGTTTGATGTTTTCCCCCCATTTTGGATAGCTACTGTATGTTATATTTGGATAGATACTGTACTTTTTTGTTTTGTTTTGAGGTCACACCCAGCAGTGTTCAGCACTTACTCCTGACTCTGAGTTCAGCGATCATGCCTGGTGAAGCTCGGGGGACTATATGGGATACTGAGGACCAAACCCAGTTTACTCACATGCAAAGAAAGTGCCCTATTTATTAGTACTATTGCTCTGGCTCTTTTATCTTTATTTTAAAAGTGTGTTTTGGCAAGATATGGGGCTCAGTGAAAAAGCTCATGCCCTGCATACATAAGACCTAGATCTGATACCCAGAACTGCTAAAGAAAATACTTTTTCTTCATGTTTATGCTTTCCTTTACCTTTTTGAACCATATGTGGCATTCATAACAACTATAAAAACATCTTAGAATAGTAAGTAATCATCTTTTTTAGTTCTAGGTCAATTTCTATTGTCAAATTTCTCTTTGTCCAGAACTACATTTTCTTGCTTTTTTCACGTCTTATAATTTTTTGAGTGATAAATATTGAACCTTTTTTGTGAATTTGGGAAGGGAGGTGGAGGGCGAAGGTTCTCCCAAGCAGTGCTCAGGGAACCTAGGGCTACTCCGAGTGATACTTAATTCAGCTGTGTGTATGTGTGTGGGTCTGAAAATATGGGGCTGCTTAAGGCTGGTGGTATGAAACTCCCAGGGCTACCTCCATAGTTGCTCAGGGTCTACTATGGCTATATTTGGCAGTGCCCAGTGAATCTTTCAGTACTGTTATTGAATTTGGGTCCTCTGCATGCAAAGATATACTCCAGTCCCTTAAGGTATCTCTGGTCCAGAATCTTACTTTTTGATGAATTTTGTTTGAGGAACTAAAATTTTTAATGAAGGAAAATTCGATGAATTTTACTTTTTGATGCTGAGTTCTTTGAATGGTGTTGGAATTTGTTCGAGAGATGACTTAAGATGCTTGAAATTGATTGGATCCTCTTAAGGTCTGCATTTAAGTGTTTAAAGAACGTCCAGAGTAAACCTTTAGTTTAAAGCTAATAATGTGACCCACCTACTATGAGTAACGACTTCTGAGGACTTTTCTTAAAAACCCTATGTACTGATAGATCTTTTGTTCTGTTACCAGGTTTGAGAACATAAACTGGTTCTAGTCTTTAGCTCCAAAAACTTATCTGCTTGCTTCTTTCTGTGATTCTTTCTCCACACACAGTAAAGACTCAAGGAGCAAACCTTCCTATAGACTTATTGATATCTGTCATTGCATAATATTGCCAAATTCTGATCTCTATTCTTTCATATGAGAGCTCAAGGTCTATTTGGGTTTTACCTTCTTTCACTGTTGCCTCAAAACTGCCTCTGAGGAGCAAAGTTAAAATAACCAAATTTGTTTAATTTCCCCCTCCAAGGTCACAATCAAAATCATCCTCTTATCTAAAGTCTGATAACCACTACTATTTTTGTGGATTTGTAACTATTTGGAAAGGAGGATAAGTCTGATTACTGAAACTTTTTTCAAAGCTGACTTAGTCTTTAAAAAGTATCATGTCAGGTTAGCTGACAGAGTCAAAGAAATCACTAAAAGAAGTGCCAAATATTACTTTAATGATGTCTGTACTCTTTGACAGAAAATTTCATCAGATATTCAAACTACGTGTTTATAAAAGATACCATAAAATATTGCTTAAAGAACAGAGGTTAATAAAATTATAAAATTAAAATTAATAATAAATTGCCAAAGTCATCCTCATCCTTATGCATTCCAAAATATTGCCCTCTTTTGGATTTTTGGGCCAGAAGTGCCAGGACTTTCTCCTTGCTCTGTGCTCAGGGATCATTCCTGGCAATGCTGCAGAGGAAGGATCTCAGTCACATGCAAGGCAAGCACCCCATATGCTTATACTATCTCTCTGGTTGAAAAAAAAGCTCTTAAAAATATTTATCTTATGAAAACCACTCTTGAAAAAAACATTTTAAACAGGAATAATGAATCAATTAAAAAAAAACCACAGAATTTTACTAGTTTGACTAAAAAACCACCAGCTTTCTAAAACTAAGTAAGAATATGAGTATCGACAATACCTCTATTGCAAACCACAATACCCATAATGAGAGAGAGAGAGAGAGAGAGAGAGAGAGAGAGAGAGAGAGCGCGCGCAAAAGGGTATGCCCTGCCACAGAAGTGGGGAGGGGTGGAGGGGATGAGGTGGGGTTGGGGGAAGGCATACTGGGATGGTTGGTGGTGGAGAATGGGCACTGGTGGAGGAATGGGTACTGAGCAATGTATGACTGAAACGTAACCACAAAAGTTTGTAAGTCTATAACCACACCTCATGGGGATCCATTACCAAAAAAAAAAAAAACACAATATGAGTAAAGAAGGGGTTATAATCTAGGCCTGCCATGCAGTTGACCCCAGACAGTTTCCTGAGCATTGTCAGGTAAAGCCTAAAGGAGTCCAAGCACTGCTGGATGTGTCTCTAGAGCATCCATCCACCCCAGACCACAGAGGCAGCCTGGATAATCCTGGGCACAGCAAGGCTTAAGGGTTATACATCCTCAAGCCCTCAAATTCAACTGTCAGCCCAATGGCTAAGGATCACTGAGAGGTGCCCTAAATTCCCTAAGCATCACTTGGGAGCCCCAACCTGGCCCACAAAAAATACAAGATTCTTTTTAGTACCAATAAATTTTATTTCTATGTATAAGTTGCATTCCTCCCCTCTTGATAGTCCTGTAATACTTACCCTTTTCCAAGTAAGATCGTGGGGCCCATGGTGGATCCTCTTCAGCATAAGGATCACTATACTCAACCACAGCAGCCTCCTCCTCTTCATAGTCTTCGGGGGGTGGTGGCGGTGGGGGAGATTCATCAAAGACTGGTTCTTCCACAGGTGGTGGTGGAGGTGGTGTATCTGAAACTAAGAATATATCAAGCTGATAACAATAGTACACCACAAACACACTCAAACTTCAATATTTTCTACCCAAATATTGTTATTTAATATAATCCAAAATGGAAAAAAAAATTTAATCTTCTAAAATTTGAGCGGGCAAGAGAATTTCCCAACCAAGTAAAATTCCCTAAGTTTCTTAACATGCTTCCTTTCTTTGGATTAGTGCTGATGGATGGGCAAATACAATCCAGACCAAATAATTACTATTAACTGAACCTCTAATACCTGTCTAATACCTGATCTTTTTCAAAAAGAGAGGTATTAGAACATTCTCCAGCATCCCAGTCTATCAAAGGAGAAATGGTTATTAGATATACCACATTTTATAATAATTTAGAATGAGTCGAATGGATACCCAAATTTTTTAAATCCACCACTTTCTTCTCAGTGAATTTTTTCACTACCATTTTCACCAAATTAGTAGGACAGAAACAACAAAGAACTCTAAGTAACTTCTTCCATGAATATGTTTGGTTTGGTTTTCCTATACATATGTATATGTATACATGTGTATATATGTGTATACATATGTGTGTATACATATAACACATATATGCAGTTTTTCAACTAATTCAGACAGATCATGATTCATATTTTCCTTAGGCTGTAACACTGTAGCACAGTCCTCCTGTTGTTCATCAATTTACTTAAGCGGGCACCAGTAATGTCTCTATTGTGAGACTTATTGTTATTGTTTTTGGCATATTGGATACGCCACAGGTAGCTTGCCAGGCTCTGCCGTGCGGGTATGATACTCTGGGTAGCTTGCCAGGCTCTCCGAGAGGGACTGAGGATTAGAACCCGGGTCGGCCGAGTGCAAGGCAAACGCTCTACCCTCTGTGTTATCGCTTCTGCCCTTCTTTAGGTTAAATATTCAAAATTATTTTAAATATTTTAGATGTTTTCTTTATAAAAGTGTTTTCACAACTCAAAGTTATTAATACATATTAGTATATAAAAGATGATGTCAATTTAGGGAACCCAAAGCTTTTGAAATACTTGGCACATCAACACCGCTCAACAAAATAAACAATAAAGCTGTGTTTACAAACTACCTAATTTTAATAACTTTTTATGAGTTATCAGTTTTGTTTCCATGAAATTCACTAAGCAATCCTCTTCATTTTCTGTATTTAATCTAAACGCACTCATTTCATCAAATGGATTTTAGGAGACCAATTGCTGGTAAGGATTAGCCATAAACATACTCTGTACTATTCCAGTATTTTTCTCCAATGTATGATGCCACTCTACCTATCAACTATTGTACTTTATGAACTTCAAAGTTTACTCAGAAATAATTGTTAGTCCAGGGCTGGAGCAACAGTACAGAAGATAGCTTGTTTGCATTACATAAGGAACGAGGATGACCCATTGCAATCCCTGGCACCCCATTTGGTTCTCCAAGCCCATCAAGAGTGATCCCTGAGCATAGCGCCAGGAGTAAGCCTGGAAAATGCTGAGTGTGGGCATCCTGGCCATCCCCTTCCCCAAAAAACAAGAAAAGTATTAATTCTAATGAACTTTTTAACAAAAGTATACATGGATGACAGGATTTATGATAAAGTGTACAGTGTAGGCATAAGAAAAATAATCTATGCACATTTATAAGACAAACTTTAAACAATTGCACAAAAATCTAGATTCAAAGGAATTCTTTCAAAACCTTGAAAATTTTACCTTTAAAAATTAGGCTACAAAATTACTCAAAGATGCTGCCACTGCTTTTCCATTATTATAAGAGAATCAGCTTAATAAAAGATTGGCTGCTGAGTCAGATAATTAGTATACACACTTAGGGGAGCTCTCTTCCTCCTGGAAGCTGAAGCTAATGTACTACCAAGTGCTGTCACTGCCACTGTCACTGTCGAGCAATAAAAGATTAAAAAAAAAACAACAACAACTTTACAATAATCATGGAAATACCTTAAGTGGCAGTGCATGTACCTAAAATGTTCAAGGCCCTTAGTGCGATCCCTGGTACCACATGCCTCCTCCCTCCCCTATAAATACCATTGGAAATGGCCTCTATATATGTTTTAAGAGGTCTAATTACTAAGTTAAAACTTTATTGCTCATTATCTTATTTAATCCTTATCTCAGAAAGTAGTATTTTAAATCAGTTTACGGATCTGGAAAATGCCTTTCCAATATTAAATAATATGTGGTAAAGCAAAAACTTGAATTTAAATGCCTGTTATCTTTTTTTTATTTTAATTGAATCACCATGAGATAATTACAAGCTTTCATGTTTGAGTTACAATCACACAATGATCAAACACCCATCCCTTCACAAGTGCACATTCCCCACCACCAATCTCCCCAGTATACCCCCCCCCTTTCCCACCCTCATGGCAGGCAATTTCCCCCATTCTCTCTACTTTTGGAATGCCTGTTATCTTAAAGCTATTATGGGATTACATATTCAATAAAATTAAAGTCCTTTTTATTATTATTCTTCAACAAATACCAACCAAAAGCCTATTAGAGCCAGGTATGCTTGTTCAGGGAACAGAGGAGTGAGTGGACAGCAGTCATGGAAACAGAGACAACCAAACCTGCATACAGGTGCAGTCAGTACTTTAAGTCATTACAGAAAACATAGCAGTGACCAAATCTCTTCCCAAAATCTGAAGGATGAATACAGGATCATGGTCATGGGTTGATTATATTTCATGACTGATATTAAAAGGGAAAAAACTAAAACAAAAAAACAAAGGTAAGGAAGCAGGAATCACTGAAAGAACTGATCAAAGTTTTGTAAAAAGAGGCTTGAGGAAGCTGAAAAAGACTAAGGAGAATAAGTCTAAAACAGTGTTAACTCTGCCCAAAGAACAATGGGAAGCCATAGAAGGATTTTAAGATAAAATTAAAATGAAGGCTAGGGAAATACCTTAGATGTCGGACGACAGACATAGCATGTACAAAGCCTTAAGTTTGATCCCTGGCACGGCATGACCCTAGCACCACTGGCTATGGCCTTCGTGGTCCCAAGTACCACCAGCTGCAGAGGCAGAGCTCTACTAGGAGTGGAGTTTATACTACTTATCCCAGTACAACCAATCCAAATAATACTAGATGTCTTACAGACTTAATACAGAGTAAATATTTGCTAGAATATCTTCAAAATAATGTACTCTTAAAGATATGAAAATAATTCCCATCAAAAATGTCTGTATCTGGGATGGAGTGATAACACAGCAGGTAGGGCATTTGCCTTGCACGCAGCCGACCCGGGTTCGATTCCCAGCGTCCCATATGGCCCCCTGAGCACTGCCAGGAGTAATTCCTGAGTGCAGAGCCAGGAGTAACCCTTGGGCATAGCCGGGTGTGACCCAAAAAGCAAAAAAAAAAAAGTCTGTATCTTTTCAAGCTGAATGTGTTAAAGAGGATATTGATTTGACTAGATAGGTCTTGTTATGTCTATAAAATCAACACCCCTCTTCTTCATACACATTTTTAATACATTTTGTAGGTATAAAATGTGTATGATTTTGGAAAGTTAAATGAGAAATGGTTAGCCCAAAGGCAATCACACTGTAGTAAAAGACTGGAAGCATTTACTTCCAGACTGGAAGTATTTACATCACGTATTCATCGAGTACTTTCCCAAAAGCAGAAATAGAACAAGTATATTTTCAGAAATGTGTAAAAAGAGATACAAGGGTACCTGCCGAACAAGACACTGAGCTCTCAGACCACCCAAATTCCAAGAAAGACTGTGTCATCAAAACGGGTGTAGTCACCTACAGAAGCACCCAAAGGGAAGACTAAAAGTGGCTGCTATGTGTCAGATACATTTCTAAGTGAAAGGAAAACAGCCAGTGAACAAAACAGGCAAAAATCCCTGCTTTCATGGAGTTTTCTTTCAAGTATTGGCAATGCCTGTTTCTAAAACAGCAAGAAGACCTATCACTATTAAGGAAATTGAAACAGTGATCAAAAGTCTTCCCAAAGGGGCTGGAGCAATAGCACAGTGGGTAGGGCATTTGCCTTGCACGCAGCTGACCCAAGTTCAATTCCCAGCATCCCATATCCATATGGTCCCCCGAGCACTGCCAGGAGTAATTCCTGAGTGCACTGCCAGGAGTAATTCCTGAGCATCACCAGGTGTGACCCAAAAACCCAAAAAAAAAAAAAAAAAAAAAAAAAAAGGAGTAAGTCTTTCCAAAAACAAAAGCCCAGGTTCAGATGGATTCTCTAGTGAATTCTTCCACACATTTAAAGAGGACCTACTGCTAGTTCTTTTCAAGCTTTTCCAGGAAATTGAAGACACAGAAACACCTCCAAACAGTTTCTATGAGGCACATATCACCCTAATACCTAAAGCAGACAGACACCACACAAAAAAATGAAAATTACAAGCCAATATCCCTGATGAAAACGGATGCAAAAATCCTCAACAAAATATTAGCAAAGAGAATCCAATGACTCATCAAAAAAGATCATATACCATGACCAAGTGGGATTCATCCCGGGGATGCAAGGATGGTTTAACATTCGCAAGTCAATCAACGTAATCCATCACATCAATAAAGAAAAGAAAAAAATCACATGATTATATCAGTAGATACAGAGAAAGTATTTGACAAGATCCTACACCTGTTTATGATGAAAACTCTCAGCAAATTGGGAATTGAAGGAACTTTCCTCAATAAAGTCAAAACCATCTACCACAAGCCACAGCAAACATTATTCTCAATGGGGAAAAACTAAAAGCTTTCCCTTTAAGATCAGGGACAAGACAAGGATGCCCACTCTTGCCACTTCTACTCAATATAGTACTTGCCATAATAGCTAATATTAAGTGCATCCAGATAGGAAAGAAAGAAATCAAGCTCTCAGTATTTGCAGATGACATGGTACTATATTTAGAGAACCCTGAAGTCTCTACCAAGACACTCCTAGAAACAATAAACTTGTAAAGTCACAGGCTATAAAATCAATACCCAAAAGTCCATGGCTTTCCTATATGCAAATGAGAAGAAAGTGATATGAAAAAAAATCCCGTTCACAATCATGCCTCAGAAAACAAAATACCTCAGAATCAGCTTAACTAAGGACGTAAAGGACCTGTACCAAAAAATTACAAAATACTACTTCAAGAAATAAAAGAGGACATGAGGAAATGGAAACAAATCCTCTGCTCATAGATTGGGAGAATTAACACTCCCAATTGCATTAAAATGGCAACACTCCCCAAAACATTATATAGATTCAATGTGATCCCTCTAAGGACACCCATAATATTTTGAAAGAAATTGATCAAACACTCCTGAAACTCATATGGAACTATAAGCCACCACGAAAAGCTAAAGCAATTCTTGGGGGGGAAAAGATGGGAGGTATCACCTTCCCTGACCTCAAAATGTACTACAAAGCAGTAATAATTAAAACAGCATGGTCTTGGAACAAGGAGATCCGCAAACCAATGAAATAGGGTTGAGTATTCTTACACACAACCTAAATATATGATCATCTAATCTTTGAAAGTAGAGCAAGGAAAGCTTCTTTAACAAATGGTGCTGGCAAAGCTAGACGGCTATATGCAAAAAAAAAAGGGGGGGGGGCGCTCAAGCCTCTACCTAACACCATGCACAAAAGTCAGATCAAAATGGATTAAAGACCTGAAGATCAGACGAGAATCCATAAGGTACATTGAAGAAAAGGTCAGCAAAACTCTCCAAGATATTGAAGCTAAAGGTATCTTCAAAGATGAAATGCCACTGACCAAGCAAGTGGAAGCAAAGATAAGCAAACAGGACTATCATAAACTAAAAAGCTTCTGCACTTAAAAAGAAACAGTAACCAGGATACAAAGACAGCCTATGGAATGGGAAAAGATATTTACCCAATACCTTTCTGATAAGGGGTTAATATCAAAGATATACAAGGTACTGGTTGAACTCTGCAAGAAAAAAAATCCAATCCCATCAGGAAATGGGGTGATGAAATGAACAGAAACTTTCTCAAAGAAGGAATTCAAATGGCTAAAAGGCATATGAAAAAATGCTCTTCATTACTAATCATCAGGGAGATGCAGATCAAAACAATGAGATACCTTCTCACTCCACAGAGACTGGCACACATTCAAAAGAACAAAAGCAGACATTGCTGGTATGGAAGTTGGGAGAAAGGGACTCTCCTTCACTGCTGGTGCGAATGCCAACTGGTCCAACCTAGTTGGAAAACAATATGGATGTTTCTCAAATAACTAGAAATTGAGCCTCCATTTGACCCAGCAATACCACTTCTGGGAATATACCCTGGGGGCCCAAAAGTGCTCAGCAGAAACACCATCTGCACTCCTGTGTTCACTGCAGCACTATTCACCAGAGCCAGAATCTGGGAACAACTTTAGTGCCCAAGAACAGATGAATGGTTAAAGAAATGATGGCACATCCACACAATGGAATATGATGCAGCTGTCAGGAAAAATGAAGTCATGAAATTGGCCTATAAATGGATGGACATAGAGAGTATTATGCTGAGTGAAATTAGTCAGAAAGAAAGGGACAGACACAGAATGACTGTGTGGCATTCATTTGTGGTTTATAATATATTGTAGAAAATATCTATGGCCAGAAAATAGGGGTTAGCAGGACTGGTCAATGGTTGGAACTAATCACAAGTGTGTGGGGGGCTGAGGATGGGTAAGATAGAGAAGACAATAATACCTGGAAATGATCATGCTGGAAAAGATCTGAGGGTTAAAAGTAGGTAAGAGATATTCTTGATAACCTCTCAGTATCAATATTGCAAGCTACAATGTCCAAAGGGGGGGGGGAGGAGAGAAGGAGAGAGAGAGGAAAGGAGAGAGGGAAAGAGAGAGAGGGAGGGAGGGACAGAGAGAAAAGAAGCATCTGCCATATAGGCAGGCAGGGGGTGGGGGGTGGTGGGAGAGAAACTGAGGACACTTGTGCTGGGAAATGTACACTGGTGGAGAGATGGGTGTTAGAATACTGTGTGACTGAAACTCAACTATGAACAGCTTTGTAATGGTCCATCTCACACTGCTTCAATAAAAAAGTTAAAAATAAATAAATAAAATAGCAAGAGACTTAAGCAACAGAGTTCAAGCCATTTCTGTGCCTTTGGTAAGGCATCCTTCTTATGAGATGCAGACACTGGGCTTTGTAAGTCGGACATTATATCCCCAAGTTCAGCTTCCATGCCCATCATGCAATCTTATGATTGTGATATAGTCTGCTTAAAAGAAGATATATATCAACCGAACAGATTATGTTCACAGATTATGTTCTATAACATCAATTCCTCACTGAACATTTATATAAGCCTCCTGTAAACTAAACTCTATGAGCTTCCTCAATGCTCAGTAGGTGGAGATTCATCTGTCAATAAATTTAGCTATCTGATCCTGCATGAATCAAACCAGACCACACATCAACATACATACATTATATAAGAGGCTCTTGGATGACAGACTGGCAATTTAGTCCTGTAGGAACTACCACGGTGTGACCACTGTTTCACTTGGTAAAGATTCTCAAAACCCTAAAACGCCAATGATAGGAAATTAAACTATTTTTTGCCTGAGCAACCCAGAGAAAAAGATGGGATAGCTAATACTTAAAAGAATCTCCTGAGTGACATAAAAAACTGTCTTATATATAACTTGTTTTTATCTGTGTTTGTCTTAACTCTACAAACTTAAAAGTAGAGAACTTTGTATCACCCGACTGGCTGCTAAGAATGTGACTTGTTCATAATAATATTTGAAGTACCAATGTACCAATGTCTGTGCAGCCAATCATATATAAATGACATTAAGCCTATAATCTGATCTACAGCATAAAGAAGACATAAACTTACTATTTTCTTGGACTCTGGCCACAAATCCCATTAAAGGTAACTGGGGAGTTACCTGTAGGATGGAGGGAGGAGGAGGAGCAAGAGATACTGCAAAAACAAAAAAGGTGTGGAGGATAAGGGGTAAGGGCAAGTTACAATAAAAGAAAAGGATAATACAATAAAACAAACATAAGGAGGGAAATGCACAAACATTTCATATGCTAGCTTAAGGATCTTATTTTGAAGAATAATTAATACACAAAACAAAGTAAGGAGGCTGAGGAAGTTTTCAAAAATTACCACAGGAAGCATTTTGCATATGTGAATATACTGTACCATAAAAGGCAAATTAATCTTTTCATACCAATAACTTCTCTGAAATACACTTGAGATTATAATGAATAATTCTATTTTCCAAATTTTACCTTGTAGGCTACAATTTTAAATATTCATCAGTGGAAAGAAAAACATGCTAAAAATTCATATTTTCATCATTTCATAAGGCAAATTAACTGTTTCTCATATACTTTGAACATTAACTGACTTCTAAGTGGCAAGGTCTCTACATTATAATTCATCATAAGCACAAGTCATGCCAATACAAAAGGTACATTTTCTCTGATCCTACAGAAAAAGGCTGACCTCGTTCCAGTCATTCTCTGCTCTCCCTCTGCCTGAAGCACCTGACAGTGCTCAGCAATAGTAAGTCTTCAACAAATGGTTAATGTATATTAATACACAAAATACATTTTCAAATTCCCCATATTAACTCTATAGTTTCCTTCAAAATGGGTATGTAGTATACATCTTAAAAATGGAACATTTTAATAAGCTCAAAATTACAGCTAAGATTAATAAAACTGAAATTATGAATAATCACTGCCTCAAAGAGATCAAAATCTAATAGGAACTGAAGACAAAATAAAAACCTTAGTCCACTAATATATGTAGTGATTCCGGGAAGGTGGTGGTGATGGCATGATGTCATGGTGGTGGTAATAACAAAGGCTGCACACTAAGAAAATATATCTAGAAATGACCTCTAAAAAAGAGACGAAAGGGTGCTCAACAGCAAAGGATGACAAATGACAATTCGATGAGAATTCAAAAGCAAAGGTTTATAAGAGTAAAACAGCACAACCAGTTCACAGGACCAAACGGCTAATAGCAGACAGCACAGACAAAATGTAAAAATCCTGAAAAGCAAAAGGATGCAGATGAAATAGGTAAGGAACTTATGCATTAGGTAAAAGAGTGCTTATTGGAAAGAGATTACACTTAAAAGTCACCCATTATCAAATATCTGATTCACCATTTCTTTACTGTTGAAAGTGCAAGTAACTTAGTTTACTTAAACCTAATTCATAAATGTGATATCAAGTAGAGACAATGCAACCCACTTTATCAAATGGCTGCAAAGATTTTCTTAAATGCATACCAAAAGCCCAAGCCAGGGATCTGTGTGTGCATAGAGGGCATGTGAGGGAGGATAGGGGAAGGATTCGCAGAATCAAGAAAATGGTAATAGAAATTAGAGAAAAGTTTTAACAGTGTGAAAAAAGAGCATTTGGTTAAGTAAACATTTAGAAGTCTATGAAGAGAACAACAGCTGAAAATAAGCTTTAGGGCTTATTTCAGCCTTCTTACCTTGTGGATACCTAATATTAGCCACAATGACCTTGGTAGGGAGAAAAGAATAGGTAAAGAAATAAGCTGCTGAGCACGCAAATCACATATGATACAAAAAATGAGATGTATGAAAGTGACTGAAAAAGATATGAGAAACAAAGGAAATTTTAGGTTTAGTTTGTGAGAAAATGGAGAGTTACAGGTGAATAGTGATCAGAAGAAACAGTCGTGTCACAGGTAAATGCTAAAGAACCTATATAATAAATTTTAGGTTTAAGAGAGGGAATAGTGTAGCTTTCTTTAAAAGGCAAATTTGGTTGTTCTTCGCTAAAGATGATTTACTTCTAGATAGCAAACCATTAAGTTGTGTCTGTTCACACTTAGGAGACCTTAATAATTGGTATGTTCATAATATTTGTGTTTTCGAATATGGGGTAAAAGGACACAGTGAACAGAGAAAGTTAAAGAGATGAAGGCAATAAAAGAGGCACAGCAGCAGATAACAACAAAAAAGTAGAGATTAGATCCTTGTTTTATTAACAAGATAAAATACTCATCTGTTAGCACCTGTCTCAAGCTACCCTTTAACAGGAAATTAGTTAACTTCCTTTGTCATTATTTCTAACTTTAAAAATAAACCCTGTGAATGAAAGAGAAGAAAAAGATATTATAAAAGCAGTCCTGTTCACAACTGTGCCTCAGAAAATCAAGTACCTCAGAATCAGCTTAACTAAAGGGGGGAAAGACCTAATCAAAAAAAAAAACTACGGAACACTATTTTATGATATAAAAGAGGACCTGAGGAAATGGAAACATCACCTGCTCTTGTATTGGAAGGATTACTATCATCAAAATGGCAATACTCCCAAAAGCCTTGTACAGATTCAATGCAGTTCCTATAAAGATACCTATGTCATTTTTCATAGAAATAGAGCAAATGCTCCTGAAATTCATATGGAACAATAACATCCCCACCCCACAAAGAGCTAAAGTCAACCCTGGGAAAAGGAAGATGGGCAGCACTCTCCCATACTTCAAAGTGTTCTACAAAGTAACAGCAATTAAAACAGGCTAGAACTGGAATAAAGACAGACCCTCGGGTATATGATCAGTTACTCTTCAATAAAGGAGCAAAAAATATTATGTGGAACAAGGAAAGCCTCTTCAACAAGTCGTGCTGTGGAAACTGGTCAGGTACATGCAAAAAATTAAACTTAGGAGACCTCTTTCTAATGACACACAAAAAAGTCAAATCAAAATGGATTTAGGGACCTCAATACCAGACTTGAATACATAAGGTATATAGACAAAAACATGACATGACACTGAAGCTAAGTATCTTCAAGGATGAAACACCATTGATCAAGCAAGTAGAAGCAAAGATAAACAAATGGGACTACATTAAATTAAAAAGCTTCTGCACTGCAAAGGAAATGGTGACCAGGATACCAAAGGAAATGGTGACTAGATAAAACAGCACACAGAATGGGAAAAATTATTAACCCCATCTGATAGGGAATTAATATCAAAAGATATATAAGGCACTAGTAGAACTTTAAAAGAAAAAAATCCAACCTCATCAAAAAATGGGAAGAACACAAACTTCCTCAAAGAAGAAATACAAATGACCAAAAGGCAAATGAAAAAAAATGCTCTACATTACTAATCATCAAGAAAATGCAAATCAAAACAACAATGAGATAGAGACTGGCACATAAGAACAAGAACAACCAGTGCTAATGTGGATGCAGGGAGAAAGGGAATCTTCATTCATTGCTGGTGAGAATGCCAACTGGTCCGGCCTTTTTGGAAAACAATATGGACATTCCTCAAAAAACTAGAAATTGAGCTTCCATACAACCCAATATAGCATCTGGCAATAAATCCTTGTGGCCCAAAAACTTATTACAGAAACGTCATGTGCACATCTACATCCACTGCAGCACTATTCACAATGGCCAGAATGTGGAAACAACCCAAGTGTCAAGAACAGATGAGTGGATAAAGAACTATGTATGGTACACTGATACAGTGAAACACTACGCAGCTATTAAGAAACATAAAGTCATGAAATTTGCTTGTACATGGATGGACATGGAAAGTATCATGTTTAGTCAAAGAGAGGGAGAAGGATGCACATAATTCTGTATCACACTCATTTGTGGGATATGCATATAAAAAAAACAGAAGTGTGAGAATAATATCCAAGACACTAGAACTGGGCCAGAAGACCAGTCCATAGTACAAAGCTTGCCACAGGGTGTGTGTGTGTGTGTGTGTGTGTGTGTGTGTGTGAGAGAGAGAGAGAGAGAGAGGGATGTGCAATTAGGACAGAGAAGGGACCACTATGACAATGATAATTACAAATGATCACTCTGGGCACTATGACAATGATAATTACAAATGATCACTCTGGGCAATAACTGAATTTTGAAAGGAGGTAAAATGACAGACACGAAAACCTTTCAGTAACAGTATTATAAAGCACAGAGCTATAAAGGTTTCTGACATAAAGCAAACTGGAGGGAGATAGATGCTAAATACACAGAAAATGGGAATGTTGTTGGTGGCTAACTACACTGGTGAAGGAATGGGTGCTGGACACTGTATGATTGAAACCAAATTATGAAGACCTTTGTAACTATGTATCGCATGGTGATTCAACTAAAAAGATTTTTTTTCAAATCGATGATCAACGGGAGGGCCTTTACCTTTACCTTTTTTAATTAAAAAAAATAATAATAAACCCTGGAACATGACCACAAGAGAATCTGAAAAAAATCCTGTATATTAGAATATCTTATTTTTGATTCGATTTTATTTTCTTTTTGAGTTGAGTTAAAAATTAAATATGCTAATTTAAGGCTAATCTTGGAATTGTCTGCATTATTCAACTCTGGTCCCAGACATCTTGTGAACTTGCAAGTGTAAGAAGTAACTATAAATTTATATTCACTTCCCTTAGATGATTCTTTGAATAAGACCCTCTCCTAGTACCACTAAAACATGTCCAAACTTAGATTCAATAACAATATGTTTATAGTAAGCAATTAATGAAGTTAATGTGAAGAGGTTCACCAAAAGACTGAGATTAAGATCTTAAAGAGGAAAGCTAAGCTATTAACTAGATTTATGTATACACAGTAGCATGTAGCTTATAAAAAATTTCAGCAAGCAAACTAAACTAAGAGGAGTTGTTCTGATAAAACATATAAACTTTTCAGCAAACTTTCTTCAAAGTTTAAAACCATCTGGGGCATAATCTTTAAGACTTGGTTTTTGTTTTTTATGGTGCTTTGTGTACATGTGTATGGGTGTGTGTCTGTATTTGTTGTGCCAGGAACCCAACTCAGGGTCTCATAGCAGTATGTGGTCCACCACCGAGTTTTATCTTCAACCAAGGAATTAGTTTTTAAAAGCCCAATTCAAAGAAGTGTGTTTGGGGGTGGGGTGGGGTGGGGGGAGCAGGATTTATAGTG